AGATTTTTAAAAAAATTATTTTCTTGTTTATCTTCAAATGAACTGGGCATTTGCTTAATCTTGGAAATCTTACCTTAATTTTTTTTCTTTTATAAACTGTCAGAGTACATTTTTATATATATGAATTATTAAATGAAAAGACTGTGTGAAATGAAAAGAGAAGCTGGTTATCTGAATTTTTCTATATAATCATTAACTCTGGTATCAAATGGATACAATCTGTTTTGGTTACCTTGCAGTTGTTTTTTGTTTGCTTGTTTTCTTTTTTGCTTTTAATATTGCAGAAATCTAATCACATTTCTACTCTGGGAAGATGGATCCAAATTCAGATATTTGACGTGGCATATGTGCTGGCTGCTTATTTATTATCTTAAGGGAAGGCTCATAGATTTCCCTTATATGTGGATTTGTGGCGGCGGGGGGAGTCTCGTAAAGAAAGTATTTGGTATACTATTGGACATAACTGTCTTGGATTTAATGAAATGTGCTTCTTGCACTGAGAGATTTTCTGTAAATGTTGGTTTGCAGTAGTCAGTCAGTAATACCATTCTTAAATTCCTATCTTAATTTTCTTCAATTTCTCAGCAGTTCTTCCTCTTACCCGAGGGCCTCCCAGTAACCTAACTTCAACACTAGGGATGGAGCTGCTGTTATATATTCTCTTCTGTTTTGATGATTAGGAAATAGTAAAGGAATTAATTCTTTCTTGGTGATTTAGAAACCACAAATATTATACTCTGCCATGTATAGAGTATGTAGTGTAGTCACTAGAGCTGTTACATTTTGATTTTCTCTCTTTGAAGGCTATTTTATGTTTTAAGTTGATATGATCTTTTTCCTCATTGTTAGCCATTGTGACTGGTTTTCAGCTATTAGACTAGTAAACTTTACTCTAGAAATATATTTTCCATTAGTGGAATTACTTTGTAGTTTGTGTTTATGAATATATAGTTAATTTTGGAGCCGTCTGTGTAGAACAGAAGTCTGGTTACCTTCACAATTCTCAGAAGATGATTTTTGGGAGCCTGGCCATCTGAAGTGTGCCACCATGCTTGTTGCTGTTACTCCATTTTCATTTTATACCCACTGCTGCTCTTATAATGTGCATTGCTATGCCGTATTTGCCTGTTAATATGTAAAGCGCATACTAATTAATGGATGTGGGCAGGCGAGATATTTGTTCTGTTGGTGTCCTTAGAAGTAGTTCAACCATTTCTCATATACTTGACTTTTAATTTCCAAGGAATTAAAACATTTGATTAATGCTATTAGAAGAAACACATGGTTTAAACAAAAGATGAGTGTATTCTGAAAAAGATATGATCAGATGTCTAAAATTCGATGGTGCTCATCTTCCTTCAGATAACTATCTTTAGAATCTACAAAGAACAAGCCAGATTTTTTAATCAAGTTGCCTGTTACATTGATAGCAAGTAGTAGTATTTTGTATCCTCAGTAAACTATCAGTGGATTGTTACAGTCACTCATGTTTTTTGATAAATTAACTTTGAATTTGTTATTATGGGGCACCTGGGTGGCTCAGTCGATTAAGTGTCCGAATTTGTCTCTCAGGTCATGATCTCACAGTTCATGAGTTTGAGCCCCGCATCAGGATCTGTGCTGACAGCTCAGAGCCTGGAGCCTGCTTCCAATTCTGTGTCTCCCTCTCTATGCTTCTCCCCCGCTCACGTTCTCTCTCTCAAAAATAAACATTTAAAAAATAATAAAAACAATAAAATTTGTTATTAAATGTGAAGAGATGGGGCACCCGAGTGGCTCAATCAGTTAAGAGTCAGACTGGCTCAGGTCATGATCTCACAGTTTGTAGGTTCACACTCCACATCAGGCTCTGTGCTGGCAACTCAGAGCCTGCTTCAGATTCTGTGTCTCCCTCTCTCTCTGCCTCTCCCCCACTCTCTCACCCTCTCTCTCTCTCTCTCTCAAAGAGAAACATTAAATAAACATTTAAAAAAACATTAAAAAAATAAGTGAAGAGAAAGAAAGACTACTTAATTATCATAACTTAAAGTGGAAAAATGGTACCAGCAGAGTCTTTTACTTTGGGCTGACAAATGGCCATGAAAATTGGATTTTCGTCCTTCAACTGTGTATGTGATAACTGTTCCAAAGAAAGACAAACCTATCTTTACTTTCTTCCTAGTTACTTTCCAATTTGAAGCACTTGAAGCCAAATTCTTGGAATTTTTTATGGCCATTCCTTTTATTCCTTCTTCAGTACATTTCTTTCTTTTTTTTTTTTAGTAAGTCATATTTCAATTTTATTTTAAAAATTTTAAATATATATTTAAAGGTATTTGGTACAGTGAAGTTGCCTTTCTACCCCAGTCCTCTATCACACAGTTCTCATTGTACCCCACCACCTACACAAATGTATAGGCAACCACTGTTATTAATGTCTTAGTGTTCCTCCAGAGTTTCCTTCTGCATATAAAGCAAATACGAATATAGATATTTATCTTTTCCGTAGATACTTATCTCTTCCATTTTCTACATAAAATTAAAGAATATTATTCAAACAGTTCTCACTGCTTTTTTCACTTTTTATTTCTCAGCTCTTTATCAGCACATAAAGATTCTTCTCATTTTTCATGACAGCCACATTCTATTTCCTTGTTAATTAATATCTGCAGCCAGACTTTTGACCCTTCCCATTTGCTGAAGGTCCATAATCAGGCCTCATTCTTTTCTGCCTTTGTCCTGAGTACTTGTCTTTTCTGAGTGTGTCACTACCTTTGAGGCTTTAAGGCCAATTCTTGCCTTTCAACTATGCACATAAATAAAAAATTGTAGAGAGAGATACAAGGATAATGGAGAACAATTGAAATTCCAACCAGATAAATGGGAGAATGAAGAAGCCTAGCTTCTATATTGCCCCTTTATTGTCTCTAAGGACTCTAACCTCCTAACCAGTAAACATTTAAAATGTTTGCACTATCTACATGATGATTTTTGTTGATGATCTTACACAAAATAAATGCTGACTGTATTGTACTCAGGCAGTCTGTGTTTTAACCATTTTGGTCTCCCAAGAGCCTAGCAGATGGTTGTTCAGATGTTTATTACATGAATATTATACTACTCTCTGTAGCTGTTCTTCATTTTGCTGAGCCCCTGTCTTTCGCCCAAAGCCTAACTGAACAATCATGAAAAGCTCTCATGTTGGTTCTTGATTCTTTCAGTGTCCTCACTGTCACTGCTCAGAGTTTAGCTACTCTCAGAATTTCAACTTCTTACATTTGTGGATGGTTTTATACACTTACATTGCATTTCATTTTTCTCTCACATTCAAGACTTTTATTTTTTTATTTATTTATTTATTTTTTTTCAACGTTTATTTTTGGGACAGAGAGAGACAGAGCATGAACGGGGGAGGGGCAGAGAGAGAGAGGGAGACACAGAATCGGAAACAGGCTCCAGGCTCTCAGAGCCTGACGCGGGGCTCGAACCCACGGACCGCGAGATCGTGACCTGGCTGAAGTCGGACGCTCAACCGACTGCGCCACCCAGGCGCCCCTCAAGACTTTTAAATCTATTCTAATATACATGTATTGTGTGTTTATCATGTTAATCTTTGTAACAAGGTATTAGGAGATCTGCTTTATAGATGAAGAAACAGGTTGAGAGGGATCACGCAGCTAGTTAGGAACCCATAGCTAGTAGTTATTAGAGCTGTAACTTCGAGTCACTGCACTTGATTATTCCCTGGAACCTCACACTCAAAACATACAGTGTAAACATTAGACATCTGAATTTAGCCTTGGTTCTACTATACTTTGATGTTAAGCTATCTGCCGTACCTGTGTTTCATCATCTAGAAAATAAGGAGTTTGGACTAGATATCTAAAGGCCTTTCTTACTAGCTAGTAATGATCTTGGATATAAATATAGGATTGTTTATAGTGTAGGACCTATTGCCAGTCCCTCTACACTTTTAAGAGCTGGGGCTGTGTGTTTTTACTTAGATATATACTGATGCTACAGTTTGGTTGCTGCTTCTGTTTGGTTGGGATATAGGTACAAAATCAGTGGATTTTATATAGCCAATAGATTTTTCCCTCTTTTTTTTTTTTTTTTTTTTTTTTTTTTTTTTTTTTTTTTTTGGTCTCACTAAATGTATTTATATTCTATTAAGGATAATTTTTATCCATTGCCAGTGACTTTTTATAATTTTTTTAACGTTGATTTATATTTGAGAGAGAGAAAGAGAGACAGTGTGTGAGTAGGGGAGGGGCAGAGAGGAGACAGAATCTGAAGCAGGCTCCAGGCTCTGAGCTGTCAGCACAGAACCCGACACAGGGCTCGATCGAACTCACAAACTGTGAGATCATGACCTGAAACCAAGTCTGATGCTTAACCGACTGAGCCACCCAGGTGCCCCAGCAATGATTTTTAAATAACTGTATGTAGTTGATATTTTTGTAATTATTTAAACCTTTAGGTGTAACCCAGAAAGACATGTGGGTTCATTCATTTCTTTCTCAGTTTTTTTCCTTAAGTCGGTAGCCATTGTATCCATTTTACACAGGAATACCTAATGCAGTTTTTATCCTCATTGAAGAACTATTTTGATATTATATTACTTTATACCATGATAGATTCTTAGTAAAGAAATGTAATGAAGACTTTGTAATGGTCTGCGTTTTACATAGGAGTATTCTTATTAAGTATTTGACTTTTTTAAGACACGATTTAAAATGGGATCTTATTTTTACTTTAATATGCTCTGTATAAAGGTGCTTTTCTAGTCTATATATAAAAGGATGTTTCTTTTATTTTTAATAAAAAGAGCTAATACCTTATTGGAGAATTTTGTTTTGTGATTTAATGGTAATTTATTAGCAGAAAGTATAAAAAAATGAAGTACTACTTTTTCAGTTGTTACTTACCCAATTTGGACTATATATAACTAATATTTCAGGAAATTTATTTAAAATATTTTATGTAAAATATTTCAATTTATTTTTTTCTTCTTGTTGCAGGAGCTAGAGTTAATGCCAAAGACAGCAAATGGTTGACACCTTTACACAGAGCAGTTGCATCTTGTAGTGAGGTATGAAATTTCTCTTAGTAAATACATCATATATAAAAACATTATAAGTAGGCCTGCCTGTGAGCCCATATTAAAATTCTGTGTTTTCACAAGTAGGAAAAAGCAACTGAAAATACCTAGATTGGTTATTTGACTTTAGAATTTGTACAAACCAAGTTTAAGTGTTCCCCATTTCTCTTTTGTGACTAAGGTCTCTTGAAGAGTCTGAAATAGCAAAGAATAGAAAACCCTCCTTGTATATGTCCTACAAGAGAAATTATTTGTTTTCTTATAAAATCCTCCTCAATCTTATCTCTACTGGACAGGCTGCAGAGGTTCTGCTGAGTGTAATCAAGAAATAATCTCAGCAGTATATAGCGATTCGTTGAAGTATCGTTTGGTTAAACAATGAAATTAGCTTCAAAAACATTGCTCGATCTCACATTTTACCAGTTCTAAATATATAACCTAAAAATTCTAGATGTCTTATGGGGAAGAACAGCTTCTTCTTATTTGTAACCCTATACTATTTACTCTTCAAGATAACTGACATTTTTGGAGAACATTCATTTTTATGTTTTTCATACTTCTAGTCCTTATGACATCCTTGTAGGATAGATATTTTGAGGGAATTGTAGTTCATCATTTGCCAGAAACCACTCAACTTTTGAGTAGCAGAAATGGGATGAAAACCTAGACCCTCTTTTTTCTGTCATTTTACTCTTTCTAAAATGTATTCGGTGCATTTTAAAAATGCATTGTGTCCAAAGAACTCTTATCTCTTCACTTTTCTTTGTATTTCTCATTATGAACTGCATCTTGAACCCAGAACAAGAATTAAACAAGTGAAGAGAAGTAGAGGGTGAGCGGCTGGGAGGGATTTCAAACCCTGCACCGTGACTGCGGCAGTCTGTTAGCTGTAGCCTCCTAGTTGGGAGGAACGGGAGGGAGAGAACCGTGGGTGGTGCACTGGAGCACATCTTACCACATCTGGGTCTGTGATGTGCTGTAGCTGCTGGAATGTGCAACTTGGATCTGGAGAAACTGGCTACAGATATCACTTGCCACTTTCTAGCTCTGTGATCTTAGGCAGATCTGGGGATTATCATGAAAACTAAGATATTAACCAAAATATTTTGAATTCTGAAATTCCTTGGTAATGTTAAGTTTGTGGTTAGCCCTCTTATAAAGAGTTTCTGTAAACAAGGCAGTTAAGGAAGATAAACATTACTGTCATTGGGACCTATTAATAAGTTAGTCATACCTATCCAGTTTTTAGTATGACCCGTGGGAATATGATTATTAAAATTAATGGAGTTTTGCCAAATTAAGTCATAAGGGACACTTTGCATATTTGTAGAGATTGTAAAACAGACCAGAAATTCTTAAGGTAATTAATATTAGAGGAAGGTTGCAGGTTCTGCCGAAAGACTTAACAGCTGATTTTTTAAAACTATGTACTTAGCCTGAACTTACAGGCAAGCTGTAGGTTAGAAAGCAGTGATCTTAATAAGTTTCTTGAGTATGCTTTCAGCCTAAAAATTACTGGGCTGTGTAGTAGTATTCTTTTGTAGGAAACCTAGTCAAGAATACCAGTTGCACCCATGTTCTTTTCATTTTTTCTACTACATCCTGAGAGCAAAAGAGTGCTGTACTTAATTTCATTGAATAAGGAAATATAGCCACAGAAGGGTATGGAGAAGACAAAATTTTAGGCAGCTTTGGTTTATGTTTTTGAAGTACTGTGAGAGAAGAAAGCCCTAAAGAGGGTGCCAATCCTCCAAGGCCTTTGGAAGCTAACACCATCATAGAACAGAGTGGAGAAGTTAATTCGTCACAAAGAGGATGCCTTAGTGCTTAATTCCTGCACTTTACCTGGGTTGAGAAAGGCTGCTTTGGGTTACAAATCCTAAACTCCTCACTCTCCCTCAGTGACATGGCTTCCACACACCTCATCGTATTGGCTGGCTGACTCATCTCATCTCCAGTGGTGATTTGTGACTGCCATTCTTCAAGTCAGAGCATACAATTTAGCTCTCTCAATGCTGAGTATTCTTCTGAATAAATTGATTACTGAGTATTAGGGCTTTTTGTGTGTTCTTGTTTTGTTTTTTTTAGCTTGTTTTTTTTAAGAAGCCACATCACACTGCTAAATCCTCTGGAAGATATACATTTACTTTTTTAACTTTAGGAATTACATCTTAGTTCTGTCAAGACCCCAAATTTATATTATCACATGAGATATTAGCAGTCCCTCCCACTATTACGTTTATTTGCGAATGTGTTAGCCCTTCTTTTTCCCATGCCTGACTTCAAATCAATGGTAAGAATTGCTTTTAAAAAGGCAGAGCCACAGACAGCTAGTGCTGTAGAAACTCTTCTAGGTGGACCCCAAGCAATGAATAAATACTCTTTGGACAAAATTATTTAACCTTTTGTCATCACCCCATATGTCATAATTTTATTAAAATCTGTGTCATAGGATATTTAGCTGAGTTTTTTCTTAAAAAAATTTTTTTAATGTTTATTTTTGAGAGAGAGAGAGATACAGAGCATGAAAAGGGAAGGAGCAGAGAGAGAGAGACAGACAGACAGACAGACAGACAGAATCTAAAGTAGGCTCCAGGCTCTGAGCTGTCAGCACAGAGTCTAACACGGAGTTCAAACCCATGGACCATGAGATCATGACCTGAGCTAAAGTCGGTTGCTTAATCGACTGAGCCACCCGAGTGCCCTACTTAGCTGATTTTTTAAAGTCAAGGCATACCTGGAGTATTTCTTACACATACATAGCCTCTAATAATGGAAAAATTGGAATTAAGGTTGCTATGGTAATATTTATCATTAGTGGAACCGTATATACCTTTTATTATTCCTATATTATTTCCTAAATACTTATAATGTGCTGATAATATGATCTAGAGTTTTACTAGTTCTGACAACAGGCTTATTGATTGTAATTTCTAGAAATCCGCGTGTTTGGTTTGGCTTAATGTCTCCCTCTAGTCTGTAGAGATTTGTTTTTTTCTGAATTTTCAATGATTACTGCTATTGTGATCTGACATCCTATTGTGAATGATAAATGGTGGATACGTTAGTCAGCTTGGGTTGCCATAACAAAATATTATTGACTGTGTGGCATAAACAACAGAAATTTGTTTTCTCATAGTCTGGAGGCTGGAAGTCCCAGATCAAGGTCCAGCAGAGTTTCTAATGAGGGCTATCTTCTGGGCTTTGCAAACTGCTACTTCTTACTGTATCTTCACATGGTAAAGAGAAAGGGGGGGGGGATCTTTCTCACTTCCTCTTCTTCTAAAGTATCAGATCAGGTTGCCTCCCTTATGATCTCATTTAACTTCAATTACCTCCCAAAGACACTGTCTCCAAATATAGTCACACTGGGAGGTGTTAGGGCTTCAACATATGAATTGTGGGGGAACACAATTTGGTCCATAGCAGTGAACCCCTTGTTCAAACTTTGGTCTGTCTTGATTCTAGGATCTTGGTAACTATGTTTATAGCATTTCTTAGGTGCCATCTTACCCACCCTCACATACCATTAACTGGATTTATTCTTGCTTTTCAGCAAAACAAAAAAAATAGTTTTGATTTTTCTATTTCTTGCTAATGGAACATAAATATTCTCCATACTTTTCAGAAGTATACACTGTGAATTCCAGAGTGGGAATGAATAAGGGAAGCCTGGCACTTATTCCCACTGTTTGCCTAACTTAATCCAGTTATAAATTCTTCATTTTGTTTTTAATTATTTTCTAGTACATCCATCAACATATCTACTAACATTTCCCAGGATAATGTTAGTTTTATCCTCCAAATCACAATATACCCTTCTTGAGTTGGAGAATCCTGATGGTGTGTTTGTACCACTTCCTGTCTGTATCCTTTTCTTTATACTCCTTTTTTTCATTGAAGTATAATTTACAGTAAATGAACACATGTGTAGTCGGGTTTGGACACACGTATCCACTCATTTTCCCAATCAAGATATGGAAGATTTCCATCACTCCGGCAAGTTACCTCATGTCCCTTTCTAGTCAGTCTTGCCTGTCCCCGAGGCAACCACTGTTCTGATTTCTTCCACCATAGAATAATTTTGCTTATTCTAGAGCTTTATAAAAATGGAACCATACAGTATGTACTCTTGTATCTTGACTTCTTTTGTTCAACTTAATACTTTTTTAAGTTTTGTTGTTGTTGGTTGTCTTTTGGTTTTGGGTGTTTGTTTGTTTTTTGAGAGCAGGGGAACAGAAAGAGAGAGAAAGAGAATCTCAAGCAGTCTCTGTGCTGTCAGTGCGGAGCCCAACTCAGGGCTTGATCTCACGAACTGTTGAGATAATGACCTAAGCCAAAACCAAGAGACACTTAACCGACTGAGTCAACCAGGGCCCCCAACTTAATATTTTTGAGAGTCTTCCATATTACATGAATTGAATGTTCATTCCTTTTATTGCTGAAGAGTATTTCATTATATGGATGTACAATAGTTTATCCATTTTCCTGTTAATGGCTGTTTGCATTTCTGGTTTGTGGCTGTTATGAATAAAACTACTGTGGACATTCTTGGATGGGTCTTTTTAAATTTCTGTTGGGCAGATAACGAGTGGAATTGTGGGGTCTAGAGTAGGCCTATACATATATATACGCACATATACATGTATATGACTGGCTGACTTCCTTAGCAGATTGATAGGTTACTGGGCCTCTCTCTAGCCTTTGTCAGTCCTGTTAATAAGTATTTATGCTGTTTCCCATATTTCAGACAGTTCTGATTACTTTTTATTTGAAAGGCCTTGAAAGCTATGTGTGAATCAGAGATGACAGTATTTTGTTTAGTCTTCCTCGCTACTTACAGTTATTTGATGCTTTCGAGCACTTTTCATGTACTTTTTTTTTTTTTTTTTTTTTTTTTTTTTTTTTTTTTTTTTTTTAAGAAAACCAAGGGTCATTATTACTAGACTTAAATAGTTCTACCTGGTAAATGAACTGAGATGATTTCTGTTCTGGGCCTTTTTATTTCATACATAGTTCGTCATTCATCTGCCAAAGATAGGATTATTACTACAAGGAAAAACTTCTTGCTAAGTTTAGTTCTGACTATATTGCTTACTGTAGATTGCATACTGGATTCCTTAGTATCTAGCCATGAGGCCAATTTATAGATGTGTTGTGAAGTTTTCCTTGTGTTTCTGGAAGACAAATCCCTTTGGATACTAAGCTCTTAAATTGCCTGTTAACTTTCTCACCAGTTAGCATCACAGCATCTGTTTCTTTATTTACCTGTTGGTCTGTTTCTCTCCAGATCCTAGCGATTTCTCCTTTTATAAAATACAACGTGCATATTAATTTGGGAGACAGTATGTTTTAAATTTTTATGTATTTATTGTCAAAGTAATAATTCTCTTTAAAACTATTTAGAGTATAAATTAATTGTATCTTGCCATCTAGAAAAACGAGAACTGATGAATGTTTTTAAAGAATATTTGTTAGTATTTCTTGCACATTTTAATGTTGGTATGCCTTTAATTGGACAACAGAAAAGGGCAATGTTTTATCTCATTGCATTTTATAATGGCTCTGAGTAGTACTGCCTTTAGTTCAGAATATTTTATTTTCTTGAATAAATCCGACTCATTTATAGCAGGTTCTGCCAGACTTTTTATTTCCTTAGGAAATTTTAATTTGTTAATATATATAATTTATATATATAGTATGTAAATTATATATATGATTCCTTAATATATATAATATATGTATATATTATATATATATAATTTCTAAAACTGTTAACTCATTTGTCTTTTGTAACTTTTACCTTCATATGTTTTAGGAAGCAGTGCAGGTACTTTTGAAGCATTCTGCAGATGTTAATGCTCGAGACAAAAATTGGCAAACCCCTTTACACATCGCTGCTGCTAATAAAGCTGTAAAGTGTGCTGAAGCTTTGGTACCTCTTCTAAGTAATGTAAACGTGTCTGATCGAGCGGGGAGGACCGCATTACATCATGCAGCTTTTAGTGGACATGGTGAGGTAGGTAGTGTTCAGTTAGACAGCGATTCTCTCTCCCATCATCCTCCCACTCACCAGTCTAATTATTAATGAACTTGCCCTTTTTAGCCACTCAATCCATGGTAGTAGCAAACAGAAATATCCATCTTGCTCATTTTTGTCTAATTTTGCCTTTAGCAAACCCTCGACTTCTTTTCATGATAAAATTTGTGATAACAACATTCTCAAATTTTGAAGTTTACATATCAGATATAGCCCTATACACTTGAATTTCATGGTCAAAGGACAACAGAAGATGAAGGAGAGCACTGCCAGCTAAACACAATGTGAAAAGTATGTTCTGGCATTGTGGAAAAAATAATCCAGAAAGATAGAGCAGTTTCATTTTGCTCCCAGAAAGATAGTAAAAAAGGAAAACAGAGATTAGAAAATACTTTGTTACCATTTATTGTCAATGTTTAGTCAAGAATTCTTTGATAACAGACCATGAAAGGAAAATAATTTAAGAAAATTAATATTTAGTTTTCTTTTCTTTGTCTTTTTTTCTTTTTTGAGAGAGAGAGAGAGAGTAAGCACAAACAGGGAAGGGGCAGAGAGAGAGGGAGACACAGAATCTGAAGCAGGCTCCAGGCTCCAAGCTGTCAGCACAGAACCCGACGCAGGGCTTGAACTCACGAACCATGAGGTCATGATGTGAGCTGAAGGTGGACATTTAGCTGACTGAGCCACCCAGGCACCCCAGTATTTAGTTATCTTCTACAACAATCATTGCTTCATGTTAGATATTGTCATGGTAAAGAGTAAGGTTTATGTGTACATAAAAGACTTAGTAAAGAAGGGAATACAGAGTAACAAAAAAACCTTTGAGGCCAGCTTGCCCATCCTTCATTTTTGTTGCAGACACAGAAACTCAGAGATAAAGTGACATTCCCAAGATTCCATGCCTGAGTGCTAGTGGCTGCAGTGTTGTTTTCACTGTTCCTCTGTTTTTGCAACATAAAGAATCCTTGCCTTCACTGCAGTTAAGGTCACAAGATACGTCCCCTTTTTTGGAACATGGAATGCCCTTTCCTGTGGGGAAACTTATCATAAATATGGTTAGACAGAATAGAAATCTATGAGGTACTACATCATGAGGTAAGTAGACTACCCAGTGACCTTTGGATCTAACCGTATTATAGATACTACGTTTGTGTTTGAATTAAATTTAAGACATTTCTGGGATAAGAATGCACTTTACATCTTAACAGCACTTTGGGCTATTAAAAGAAATAAAACCTGTTGTTAAATATTCCACCTTTAGACTTCCCATATTTGTACTTCTTTGTTCATAAAATACCAGGACAGGACACAAAAGGGCATCTTTAAAAGATACTGATGCCTGACTTCAATAACGTGCATTGTAAATCTTTTTTTCATACTTTGTCCTATTATTTATTGAATTATGTTAAAGGGTCTTCACTGTTTAGTCTACAACACAGAAATTCAGTGCCACAGAGATTGAGATCAGTAGTCATCATAAGGGATATTCATGAACAGTTCTTCTGAATTTTGATGAAACTGTGTTTATTCTTATTACAGATGGTCAAACTACTCTTGTCTAGAGGTGCCAATATTAATGCTTTTGACAAGAAAGATAGACGGGCAATTCATTGGGCAGCATATATGGGTATGTATGTTTTAAGTTTGATTTTTTGACATTATGTATTCAGGAAAATTTGTACATTTTAGTTCTTGCATTTGGTATAACATCTGTTTTTAAGGATAGTGAGCAGTTACACCGTATCTAAATTTGCTGCCCAAGTGGACCCAGCCTGGTAGTGGGGGACATTTCAGGTCCAGTTTTCTTAAAGCTGTTTGAAAATAATTCTGTTTACTTTTAAAGGGAGAGACATCCTAGACCCAAGTCTGGGAAGCATAATCTTAGTTGGTGGTTTACTAGAAGCCCATTCTTATATCCATCCTTGTTTTCATGGGAATATTAAGATAGAAGTTATGAAGATGCTTTAAGAAGCCTATTATTTTGGGCCACTGGGTTGAATAGGCAACATCGTGTTTGATTTCTACAACAGTAATTTCACAGAAAGAAACTAAGGCTTAGAGTGTAGGCTTTTCTGCTGTGACATGTATATGTTCTTGAAAAATCTTGGGATTTGCAAAATTGCACCCTACAACCTGACAGAGCTCGTGGGAAAACAGTCTTGGGGTAGACTACCCAAAACCAGGCAACCAGAGTACTAACAGAAACATTAATTGGTTCTTAAGGTGACTTGGACAGCTAGAGTGCAGGCAGATCTTGAGCCTACCTCAAGATATTTTTAAGTGCACAAAAAGAACAGGCTTGTGGGTGCTAAAACCATGCAGGTGGAAGTAAATCTCTAAGTATGGAGGAAGTACAACCTGCCACGAACCTTGCAAGTCCTACAAGGCTAGGGTTGTCCCTCTGGGAGGAAGAGCTGGATATAGACATTCATTTTTCAAGTTTCTCAAAATAAAACCGAAAGAACTCTTCCTCCCTTTGTAGCGATGGAGCCTCAGAATTTTGCTCTTCCCTGCCAAAGGTTATAATTCTCCTTCTGCTATTTTGGCTCCTCTGGCTTAAGAAAAATCACATATGGATTGACACCTTATGTGTAATACTAGAGTCATTCCCTGATTTGCCATGCATACAAAGACATTTAGCTAGCCACCCTTCTTATAGGCATAGCTTATCCTCAGGACTCCCTGCTCTTGGTTTTGTCTTTTCCTGTTTCTGACATAAAAATAAAAAATTAAAGGAAGCTTTGATGGAAGATTATTAATTTTTAAAACTATATAAAATTGTAAAATATGACATTGGAAGAAAATAAATGAGCTCAAACCAGTTGTGTAGATAACCCCAAGGTCCAGCATTTTTTGCCTGTAGTAGAAAAAACCAAAAGCAGCAGAATCCATAGTGAATTGCAAGTCTGACCTTTAGTGTAAGTATAAGGAATGATCAAAAATGAAGGTTCTTGAAGGTTAATATCCTTGTCAGATGTCCCTGTTTTGAAAGCCAGATGCTGAACATTTGGGCTTCTGGTATTTCTCTCACACCAGAGATTCATGCCTCTAGTTATATCGTGGGCAATTTTCTTCTGTAACTTGAAAGTAAAACATCCAGAAGCCCATCTCCTGTAGCATCCGGAAGTCCCTTCCTCACAGCCTGTATATTTTTCATATTTTAAATCTTGGGGACTTTTCTGAATATTCTTCTGTAGCTTATCCTTCCAGATAGTTTTAGAGCATCTATTCTGAATGATTTGGTACACCTTATGTTAAAGGGTTTAAACATGAAGCAGAATTCATCAGGCCTCTTACCTCCAAAGAATTAAGACTTAACTAAGCAGTTGTTTTCATGAAATTGAAGGCCAGCAGATTTTGTGGGTTGCCTCTAATTGAGCTCCCAGAATAGCTGGGTGTGTATATCTCAGGAGCCCTCCTTTGATAGCTTTGTTTTCTTTGGTGCACTGAATGTCACTTTTCAGGCCAGTTGTGGATTAAAAAAGGTATTCTGTGTTTCTTGGGCCTCATTTAATTTTTGAGCATAGACATTCAGGGATTTATAATTCTCCTTTCCCTATCTCTTTCAGCATGGAAGAAGAAGAATGTTGACACATAGTTTCTAAAACTGTTCAGCTGTTCTAAGCATTCAGGATTAAAGAGAGCTAAACATGTAAAAGTAGGGAGCTATTGACTGGTCTAATAGACAAGCCCGGTGTCCAGGTCTTTGGCCCTACTAGGGTTATATTCAGAGAATCTGTCAGTATTTGTGAAAGAGACATTAAAATTACATGTAGTCTTCTTATAATTTATTTCTCACAAACTTCTTATTTGCCCTGGACTTCTATCCCCTGGTTGAAGTTCCCCTTACTCTTCTCTTAGACTCTACCATTTATCCCTATGCTGTTACTGAATTATGTGTCAGTGTTTGGCAGCAGTATCTCTATCCCTGAAGAGTTCATCATATCCCCCTCCCTACCCTATGTTCACTCTGACTGTGAACCTCCATTGATATCCCTTTTATACACTCATCTTTTCTGTTGCTTTCAGTACTTTTAGCAATATTCAGCCAAGTTCTACCTCAAATCACCTTACCATGATGACTTTGACATAGAAAGTACTGAATAAATATTAATTACCTTGATTAGCAACTCATTCCCGAATTTCTTCTTAAAGCAGTGCATAATTTGAATGAATATGAAATAGTATTTTTTTCTCCTTCCTTTCCTTTTCATAAAGACTTACAAATTCTGATCACAGTTCATTTTCCTTATTTTTACACAGTCATGAACAAAAGAAAAATTCAGGGAATTTTTCAAGTAAAATCATGTATACTATACATGTCCAAAGAATGCCATTTTCTAAAACTACACCTAGACAAATTACATGAAATCTAGTCTTCCTGGTAGCATAAGTCTATAAATTGACAGGGAGGACACGTACTTGTTCTGGCCAGGGCCACAATGTAGGTAGAACAAATATCATTTATTTCATTCTGGAACTTTATTCCCTTTTTTCTTTTAAATAAGTCACCCTCAAACTGGCTGTGGAGAGGCCCCTTTTTTCATATTTTCAGTGGCTCAGTTAAAGGAATTTATCCATATTTCTGAAATGTGCTTAAATAAGTATTTGTCAGTTTTAAAATTGTAAATTTGCCTATGTGTAGCCCCTTTTCAAGTTGTATTGATGTTAGGAGAAGTTCATACTTCCTGGCATCTACTAGTTTATATGTACAATTAATACGTTCTGTGCCATTTATATGAATGATGTTTTGGTTTTGAACAGTTTTTCTAGTATGTTAGTATTATGAGCCTTTTAGTCTTAAACATCAAGAGAACTTTGTTTCTTTTTGGTGTATTAGTGAATAATATGCATTTGCCCAGTTGAAAAGCTATGTTTATGTGTGAGGCTTCTAGGTACTGATTTTCACACATTACAATAAATGCAAGTAGCTATCTTTCTAGAGCCATAGATCAAAAGGTAATGTGTAGTGAGTGATCTTTGGGCCAGGTGATACTCTTATGTGATAATTACATTTGATTTGGCACCTAATGATTTGATAGATATTCCTTTGGTTTTTTTCCTAAAAATAGGTAGAGATTTCTTATTGAGATGGGGCAAAAATAGCTGAAAGTATCCACTTTAGTTGGTAATTTACATATATACAATTAAATCTACTTGATTCTTTGTGCATCTTATAACCTGGCCTAATTTTTTCAAGGAAGAGGGGCCTATGTTTGAAAGCCTCATTTTTATAGTTATTAACTTTACATATTCATTCCCTATGAAGGGATATAAAAAAATGGTGTCATGAACAATTTATTTAACAAATATTTGAGTGCCTATTTGTTTATAACACTGTTCTCAGCCCTGTGGAATATACCTTTGCCTTTGAAAATATATATTTGGGAAGCTAATACATAAAAGTAATTAGAGGCAATTAAATAAATAATGATTCAAGTTTAAGAACCATCAGAAGGTATTATATACTTATTAGATAGTATTTACAGGTATGTAGTGCTTTTGGCTTATAAGGCTTCTAGGGAAGAGAGATAACGGGGTTGATCAGGGAAGATGGGAACTGATGTGGGCCTTCAAGGGTTAGTAACAATCCTTGGAAAGAGACATCCAAGCAGAACATTCCATGCAATGAAGGAATCCCATGAACAAAGGCACAAGGATGGGAAGCATTATGGGAGGAGGAAAAAGCACTGTATAATCTAACCTGATAAAGACCAAGGAGATATAAAAAGAGAATAGTGGTTCTCCTTCTTTCTGGACACATGTCCCCCTTCCTGGCCTCCTTGTATGGTATGGTGGGGCCTGGTACTAGTTCTGACTAGTGAATTGATAGCAGCATCACCTCTGGACCAGAGCAGTTAATTGCTGATTCAAGATAGATTCTGCAGTCTATTCCTCCTTTTGGTACTGGCTGGCCACATGCAAGGTGGTGTCAGCTATATGAACCTGGGTCGTTGAGTGACTGAGCAGAGCCCTCTGGCCAAGCAATCATGGTGATGATGAGAAATAAAACACCACTGAGATTTGGGAACTGATTTTTAACCACAGCACACATAACCTAGCCTATCCTAATTGATACAAAGGTGAATAACAAACTAAGTTGATTAAAGACATCTGGTGGAAGTAATAGGGGAGAAGAAGTCTTTAACCACATGTTCTAAAGAGTAACATTTTAAAGAAACCCAAGCCCATGTCACTCCCAGATTTTCAAGTATAAGATTCCACTAAGGCAGAGAAACATAAACTTATGTGTTATATCAGACATAAAAAGCTAACTTCAAAACTTGAATGTGTTGGGGTGCCTGGGTGGCTTAGTTGGTTAAGTGTCCGACTTCGGTTCAGGTTATGATCTCATGATTCGTGGGTTTTAGCCCCACATCAGGCTCTGTGCTGACAGCTTGGAGCCTGGAGCTTGCTTTGGATTCTGTGTCTCCCTCTCTCTGCCTCTCGCCCGCTTGCGCTCGCTCTCTCTCTCTTTCTCTCTCTCGCACACACACACACACACACACACACACACACACACACAAAAGTAAATAACATTTAAAAAAAAAAAAAAAACTCGAATGTGTTAAAACAACCTTGAAATCAAGATCTAGACAAACGGAGGGTTATAGATTGTAAGGTTGTCACTGGATAAAATACTAAATACAGTAGTTTTCAATTACTTACCGCTGTCAAGATTTATTGAAATTATCTGAATACTTCTTTTTCTACCATCCTTTCTCTGGTTATAACTTGATTTATTGGTGACTTATTTATTAATTTGCATTTTTACGTTTTTTTAAAAGATACCCACGATTATATTTCATATTTTCCATATGCTCCTCTGCTTTTATTTTTTCTCTTAAACACATTTTCAGGTCACATCGAAGTAGTGAAATTACTTGTGGCACATGGAGCTGAAGTGACATGCAAGGATAAGAAGTCTTATACACCTCTTCATGCAGCAGCCTCTAGTGGAATGATCAGCGTGGTCAAGTACCTTCTGGATCTTGGAGTTGATGTAGGTATATAGATTGGGCAGTATAAATGAAGGAGGCATTTTATATGTTTATGATTACCTCGTTGGCAGAATTTATTTCAAACTTAAAAGATAATTTTATACAATAATATTTGTCTTTTAATTAGATATTTATAGTTCTTTACATAATAATAGTGCACTAATATCTGATCATGTAATTAGTCAAAGTATATTAAGAGGTAAAGTACATTCCAAAGGGGAATGGACGATGCAGGTTTTTCTGCTTCATATTTCAAGCCCTGTAGCTCCATTTTAGCCATGGAAATGAGCAGATCAGACACACCTGGATTATTTTTCCTAAATGGCTGGGTTTCTACTGTTAGTCTTATTTGCTTAGTAGTTAGTCTAGTATTCCCATTAAATGACTGTAGCAGTTCACATTACAAAATAATGGCAAGAGCTAGGCAGGAAAACTCAAGGCTTCTTGCCCATCAACTATAAGTGTTCCTTACTGTATAAATCTGGTTAGGAGGGTTGTTGCTTTATCAGAATGTATTTGATTTCTGAATTGAGATAGCTAAGAATGCCTGTCACTTTCACAGGCCATCCTTTAAGCACTTGTGCTTATATACCTCTCTTAGTATATTTATTTTAGGTACAGTTTTGACAAACTCATCTGATTGTTCAAAATAGATTAAAAAGAGCAAATTAGAAGGGAGCACCTGGGTGGCTCAGTTGGTTGAGCATCTGACTTTGGGTCAGGTCATGATCTCACGTTTTGTGAATTCAAGCCCCATGTCGGGCTTGTTGCTGTCATTGTGGAGCCTGCTTCAGATCCTCTGTCCCCAGCCTCTCTCTGCCCCTCCCCTGTTCAAGCTCTTTCTCTCTTGAAAATAATTTTTTTTTTTAAAGAACAAATTAGAAGGAGAGAGAGGGTTAGGCTCTGCCAGAGGGAGGTGTTTTATTTTTTTTATTATTATTTTTAGTTTCACATAAAGTTTATTTTTTTTAATATTGTATATAATTTATTGTCAAATTGGTTTCCATACAACACCCAGTGCTCATCCCAACAGGTGCCCTCCTCAATGCCCATCACCCACTTTCCCCTCTCCCCCATCAACCCTCAGTTTGTTCTCAGTATTTAAGAGGGTCTTATGGTTTGCCTCAGAGGGAGGTGTTTTAGATCAATTATAAAAACAATAAAATGTAAATGGTAGTCTGGTTGGACAAAGAATGCAAGGCAGAATTGTGGAGCTGAATAGACTCAATTTAAGGATTATATGAAACACTGCCTGAAGCAAGCAAATAGTTACTAAATGTGTCAGGATTGTGAGAAGTTGCAAAAATCCTAATGTTGTTAAGTAGGGTGGTGTAGAGTATGAACAGATAGAAGTTTTATTTCAGCTCAGCAATTCTATAGCTCTGTTTCACATCCATTCTAGTGCAGTTTTTAAAATTTCTTTTATTGACAGTAAAATAACATTTGTAAACCATGGTGACAGAGCATTCTTCAAAATAAGTGGTCAGACTTAGAGCTGTTTGGTGACATGTGGCCTCCAATTGCATAATTTATTAGCTTCCCAGGGCTGCCATAACAATTTACCATAAAGTAAGGGACTTAAAACAACAGATTCAATCTCTCAAAGTTCTGGAGACTGAGGACTTTCCATGTGTCTTAGCTTTTGGTGATGAAATCTAGGTACTTTGACCAAAGTTAAGTGTTCCTTTTTCACTTCCTTCAGTTTCTGTTCCCAGAGATTTCAGAAAAGAAAATGTAAAATAGAGTGGTGGTAAGTTGGGGCCAACTTCAAAGTTAGAGGGCACAGTCTCCACACAAGACCACCCTTACTTCCAACCAACTACAAGTTTGGAGTGTTGCCCAGAACTACCTTCGGGTTTGATAATTCACTAGGATTCAAAAAATTTACTGAAAACTATTATATCCATGGTTTATTACACAAAAAGATACAAATTAAGATCAGCCAAAGGAACAGACACATAGGGCTGGGCCCAGGAGTATTCTAAACACAAAGCTTCAATTGTTCTCTCCTGATGAAGTTAGGACTCCCTACTCTCCTAGCATCAATATATGAGAATATGCTCATGGTATTTGCCAACCAGGAAAGCTCACCATAGCTTGGTTTTCAGAGATTTTATTGGGGCTCCATTACGTAAGTGTGATTGGTTGATTGATCAATTACCCACATGGTTGATTTCAGTCTCCAAGTCCACTGATAACAGAGAGCGCCAAAGCTCCCCCTTCTCCTCAAATGACACAGTTGGTTTATGTGGCATGGTCAGATCCTGCCCATACACTATTGACTGTGGCCAAGCCTATTCTAAGATCCAGTGTAGCCAGCTCCCACCCTAAATAAAGGACCCTTCTATCAAGTATGCCATAGATTACCTCCCAGAAGACAAGGGCAAAGGCCAGATATCTCTTTGGACAAAGGTCTGGTTCTTTACACAAAAGCCATATAGAGGCACCTGGGTGGCTCAGTTGGTTGAGCATCCAACTCTTGATTTCAGCTCAAGTCATGATCCCAGGGTCATGGGATTAAGCCTCCATCAGGCTCTGGGCTGAGTGTGGAGCCTGCTTAAGATTCTTACTCTCTCCCTCTGCTCTTCTCCCCCACTCACATGCTTTCTATCTCACATGCTTTCTGTCTCTAAAAAACAAAAAAAAAGAAAAAAAACTATAAAGCATTCACCTATTTTATTAGAAACAAAATGAAAAAGAAACTTGAGCTGCAAGAATTACTTCTCAACATTGAGCATGTTCGTTTGAACACGTTCATTTTATTACAGCGTCAACATGTAAGGCTGGAAAATATCTATACTCCAACTTTGTTGCAAAAATGAAGTAGAAAAAGATGCCACTCATTGTTTAAAATCTTAATCTTCATTAACAACTTCAAGTGAAAAGATTGAAAATATGCATGTTATTCAGTATATCTCAGAATTTTCAGTTTGCATTAATTTGTCATGATTCTTAGATTTAACTCTTACAACTGTACCTTACTTTGAAAGCTTTTAGAAATACATTTAGTTTTCGTTTTCCTAAAATCTCTCTCTCGAAATCATTGAATTTTGTCATGAAGCAGACATTGTATGTATAAATTATATTCCTTGAATGTACAAAATCTATTTCACACCAAAATGCTTTTGTGAATATTCATTATTTTAAAAGAACTTTATGATTATTAACCTTATCTGTGTATTTATCCTTGTTTCTCACTTTAATAATTTGATTGCAACCACAACAGTGCTAAAATAACCTTCATTCTTGAAGGAAGAAGCAAGACTGCTTCATTAACATTGAGATTTTTTTTCTTCCAATAGATGAATGAACCAAATGCCTATGGAAATACACCTCTTCATGTAGCCTGCTATAATGGACAAGATGTTGTAGTGAATGAACTTATAGACTGTGGTGCTAATGTAAATCAAAAGAATGAAAAAGGATTTACTCCTTTGCACTTTGCTGCTGCATCAACACATGGAGCGTTGTGTTTAGAGCTTCTAGTAGGCAATGGGGCTGATGTCAATATGAAGGTATGAAATAAAATCAGAATCCATACTATAGTATTTAGGAGTTGGGTGTTTAAAACAATATCGATAACAAATACCATTCAGCAATAAAAAGGAACAAAATACTGATAGACAAAAGATCACAGGTGAATCTTAAAAATATTATGCTGAGTTGGAGCGCCTGGGTGGCTCAGTTGGTTGAGCGTCTGACTTCGTCTCAGGTCATGATCTCACGGTTTGTGAGTTCCAGCCCCACATCAGACTCTGTGCTGACAGCTCAGAGCCTGGAGCCTGCTTCGGATTCGTCTCCCTCTCTCTCTGCCCCTCCCCTGCTCATGCTCTGTTTCTCTCTCTCTGTCAAAAATAAATAAACATTAAAAAAAATATTATGCTGAGTCAAAGCCTTACACAAGAATATACATATTATTCCCATTTATATGAAGTTCTAGAACAGATGAAATTCCATCTATATTGGGTTCCAGATTCTGTAGTGGAAATAAAACAGTTGCCCCTGTGAGGAGGGATTGATGAAAAAGGGACACAGAAGAACTTTCTGGGGTGATGATAATATTCTATATTTTGACAGGCTTTATATTATATAAATAAGCATTTGTCAAAACTCATGAAATAATACATTTAAGATTTATGTGCTTCGTTGCTTATAAATTTTCCCTTAGGAGGTAACACACCAATATGATGTTGAACCCTAATTAATGATATGCATACCAACCTATTTAGACATATCTGCGACTTTTGAAAAACATGAAATAATTGGGTGGATGGCAGGGTGGACACGCTGGTATATGATGATGTGCTTACAGTAGAATATTAGTGATAGAATTTAGGTGCTATGTATATGGGTGTTTACAGTAATCTTTCAACATTTCTGTTTTCAATTTTTTTTTCAATTTTATAAAAATTGAAAGACCAGTATCAATGTGTTACATGTAAGGAATAGCTGGTTTTTTGTTTTTTGGTTACAGTTACTTTTAGGAATGAGCATTTGAATTTTGAAATACATGAGAATTCTGGAGCCCCGATAAATGTACTGTCAGTATATAATTCTATGAGAAGCCACATGCAGCCACAGTTTTGAACATCACTACTTTATAATGTGTAGTCATCATTTTGATTTTTCCAAGATATTCTCATTGATTCTGTGTTAATTCATCAGTTCATTATTTGAGTATTTGCCAGTCCATATCTTGTGTTATGAAGAAAAGAAAAGCACAAAAAAAAATTGAACTGTTTCAGATTAGTAAAAACATTGAACCTTAAAATGTGTTTTTCAGAACTTTAATTTCTTAAGATTTCATCTTTTGTGGGTATGATGAGCCAGTGTCCTTCAGACTGGTAGAGAAAAGAATCCATTTTCTTATGTCTCTTAACTTCAGATAAGCCTTTAGTGATGCCACTGACTTCCTGTCTGACAGCTGCAATAGCAGCAAGTCCATATATAATTAGGTCTTTGCTCTATAAATTACCCTCTCAGCTACAGGACAAAATTTATGCGTACTATACTTAAGGAAGGAAAGGATATGATATAAGGTATCATAAAGAACTCCTGTTATATATATGCTTAGGTTTATTTTTTTATTTTTATTTTTTAAATGTTTATTTTTCTATTTTTGAGAGAGAGCAAGCAGGGGAGGGGCCGGGAAAGAGGGAGAGAGAGAATCCCAAGCAGGCTCCGTGCTGTCAGCACAGAGCCGGACATGGGGCTCGAACTCATGAACCTGGAGATCGTGGCCTGAGCCCAAGTCAAGAGTCAGATGCTTAACCGACTGAGCCACCCAGGCGCCCCCTATATGTTTAAATTTAAAATACCTGATATATGTTTCAAGTTTCCAGTTCTCAGTCATATTACATACTAAAGTTTTTTTTAATCATCTAAAAAATTGCTAAAAATTTTTGATAATAAATTTGAACTCCTTGTTTTGGTTTGAAGAACTCCTGCTGTTTGGATAATTGGGGACCAGAACAATATTTAAACATTTGTGAAGGAAAGAAATTTGTTAATTGTTTCCTCAAAAGCCTAGTAATATTTTTTAATACAGATTAGGTCTTAACATTCCTCAAAAGATCACAACTGATTTTTTTTAAATTTTTTTAATGTTTGTTTATTTTTGAGAGAGAGAGCGCGCACACGTGCTTGCGCACAAGTGGGGGAGGGGCAGAGAGAGAGGGAGACACAGAATCCGAAGCAGGCTCCAGGCTCTGAGCTGTCAGCACAGAGCCCGAAGTGGGGCTCAAACTCATGAACTGTGAGATCATGACCTCGAGCCTAAGTCGGATGCTTAACTGACTGAGCCACCCAGGCGCCCCACAACCAAATATTTTTAGTCTCTGTGAGATCTGTTTATGATCAAGTGACTATAGTTGAATTATCTTTTATGTGTGAAATATTAAGGATCATGGCTTACCTATATCATTAGCTGTGACACATGTTTTAGTTTCTGTTGTGCTGTCTTTAAGGGGTAAAAATTAGGCTTTTTATTTATACAATGCCATTTAGACATGAATATTGAATATAATTTGATGACAGATCACTTGATTCATACGTCATTGCCTATGTAGCTGACTCTTGTTTTAACTCTATTTGTGATTTGTTTTAACTCTGTTTTCTTTTGAAATATAGAAATGAGAATTGGTCCTACATAAGGCTCACTTACAGTGTAACGCTTAGACCAATGGTCCTATTTGAAGCTACCTCTTTATTGATTTAGAAAAAAACCAATGGTGGATTTTATACACCACAAGGGAATTTTTTAGCAAAGCAATTGAGATGTGGTGGTTAAGTAGATTTTAAGGCAACAACCTATGATGTTGGTTTAGAAATAGATTTCATAGGGGCACCTGGGTGGCTCAGTCCAGTATCTGACTCTTGGTTTTGGCTCAGGTCATGATCTCACGGTTCATGTGATTACACCCGCATGGGGCTGCACACTGACAGCACAGAGCCTGCTTGGGATTCCTTCTCTCCCTCTCTCTGTCCCTCCCCCCCCCCCCAAAATAAATAAATAAAAGTTAAAAAAGATAAAAAGAAATAGATTTCATAAAAGTTGCCTTAATCTTGCCTAGGGATGTACGACATCCCATTTAAATGCAATTGTGCAGCTATCTTCTAGCTAAGTTCCATTGGAACACAATTCCCATGTTGTTAATGACTTCTAAGGTACCTTCCAGATCTGAAATTATATAAAAATTATTGATAGCTATGTGCTTTCAACCAATAAGTATGTATATTCATTCAAGAATATACCTTCATTCCAGACACCTGTGTTTCCTATCATTGCCAAATATAGTGCCTATCAAATTGTTGCTTGATTAAGAAGCTAATAAGGCTTTGACACTTGCCTTACATTATAAAAGATTCTACTTGGTGTAGCCCTCATATTCTCTGTATCAAGTCATCTCTTTCTCCATTTTGGTGTTTCTGTCCCTGATCAACTTGTGGATGACTAGAAATTTGAATGTGAATTTAGGCTTGAAATTATTCAGTTATTCATTTATAAGTTTTTAAATCGGCTGTCTTTCAAAGTACTGCATAGAGATAAAGTGAATGGAGTTTAAAAAGCAATATAGGTCTGTTTTTTTTTACCTTGCTTTACATGAGCCCTACTGTGTTGATTGTATCACTGAAATGTGTATCTTCCCACTTAACCTTATTCTTAAGAATAAATATTGGTCAGATAAAATACCCAAATATTTTATTTAAAACTTAAATCTAGGAAGTAGTATGTGTGGCTTACTTACTGTTGTTGCTGTTTATGGTCACCTGTGAAACCAACTCTTAGAATGTTGGTAGATCTTTTTTTTTTGTTTAAAACTCCTAATTTGATTCTCAAATTAGTTAAGGTGACTTAAAAAAGAAATTTACCCATTGTCTCCCCAATTCAGAGGGAAATAAATGTGCCCTCCCCCTTCCTAACATGGCTTATGGTAGACTTTTCAGTTGGTAATCTGAATTTTTTTTTTAGTATATTTGGAATACTTTTTATAATCAGTAAGTATATAGAAAGTAAAAATGTTAATCCAGTGCCACCTATAGCCTTATAGTACATAGTAAAGGACTGCATACTAGCTATGAGACCTTGTTACATTTCTTAACCCCATGGCCTATAAAATCAGGTCAGTAGTATGTAACTCATAGGGTTTTGAGAAGTAAATGACTAATGTATATGAAATATTTTAAAACTGCCTGAAACAGGGGCGTCTGGATGGCTCAGTTGGTTAAGTGCTGGACTTAGGCTCAGGTCATGATCTCATGCTTTGTGAGTTTGAGCCCCACATCGGGCTCTGTGCTGACAGCTCAGAGCCTGGAGCCTGTTTCAGATTCTGTGTCTCCCTCTCTCTCTGTCCCTTTCCTGCTCTCACTCTCAAAAATAAATAAAGATTAAAAATAAATAAAAATAAAAAATAAAACTGCCTGGAACATAGTGCTTACTATTTATGTAAATGTTAGCTATATTTCAAAGTTCATCATTTTATGCACTCAAAATATATATTACAGTTTAGTTTTTTTTTTTTTTTTACTTTGTTTTTTTCTTTTGTTAAAACATGTCTGTCTATAGGTAAAAATTAACATTACAAAATTAAGATATGTTGGGGTGCTTAGGTGGCTTAGTTAAGCATCCAACTCTTGATTTGGGCTCAGGTCCTGATCCTCCCAGTTGTAAGATCAAGTTCTGCATCAAGCTTGTGCTGACAGCACGGAGCCTGCTTGGGATTCACTCTTTCCCTCTCTCTGTCCCTCCCCTGCTCGCGCACTCTGTCTCTCTCTCAAAGTAAAGAAACTTTAAAAAATCAAGATATGTTATATAGGGAACATTTTGAAAAGATACTACAAACTAGAATCCCTTTATTAAAATGCTTTGGTATTTTTTGTTTTGTTCTTTTCTGGTTGAAAGAATAACAACTGGTACATTGATAAAAACACCAAACATAACAGACACTGTTATGTTATATGGGTGTTTTACAAAGATTATTCTATTTATTCTGTACCACAGACCTATGAGGTAGAGGTAATTTGTGTCCACTGTCAGTCGAGAAGTGAAGGCTCAAGACGGTAGGCAGTTTCTCCTAAATCTTGCTGTGGTAACTGGAGAACTGGGATTCAGCACAGGTCATTGTGACTCCAGAGCCTACCTTGTTTGCTTGCTTGTTTTGTTTTGTTTTCCCTCCTGTGCACACACTGCCTGCAAAGGTTTGAAAGTTCTTTGAGATAAATTGCCAATTGGATGGCTTGTTTGCTTGAAAAAATTGATATAAAATTATGGAATCAAATATATATAAGTAATTATGAAGTTCATCTAACACTCCATTATTATGACAGGAGCATTTCTTAAGGAGATCTGCATTATACAGTTTTAGTGTAAACTTAGGACACTTGCCACATTTCAGTTTGGAAGAAAAAAAAAAAAATATATATATATATAAACATACATACACACACAGAAGGTATGCTGAGTATTGCTGAGGGATTAGGAATTGCAAAATATTTTCTTTCCTTTGTAACAGTCATATTGCATGTTTTGACAAAGTCCTTTCGAATTTCAGAACTTGAATATTAAATACATACATGCACAGCCAGTCTGATTAATTTAAGTCATTTGAGAAAAAAGCTATTTATTATCAATAATTATGAACAAATTAATAAAGTGTTCTAAATGAATTATAGTGGTGGAGTTAATTTAGATATTCATTTTTTCTTTATTGAGGAGGGATTTAGCATTTCTTAGAATGAAAGAATTGTAGCAATGTGAATTTTTGAAATGTGGGAAACACATCCTAGCTGTACCACTACTGATTATGTGACCTTGGTTGAATCATTTAACATCCTTGTGCTTCAGTTTACACACCTATGAAATAGGAAAGATATTAAGATTACACCATATCTACCATGCATAGCTTTTTATAAATGGTAGGTATTGAGGGTTTTTTTGTATATTTGTGCTTTATAATATCTGTACTTTAAAAAAAAAAAATTCTTGGGGCACCTAGATGGCTCAGTCAGTTGAGCATCTGACTTTGGCTCAGGTCATGATTTCATGGTTCAGGAGTTCGAGCCCCACGTTGGTCTCTCTCTGTTGGTGCAGAGCCGACTTCAGATCTTCTGTCCCCATCTCTGCCCCTCCCCCGTGTTGCACATGCTCGCTCATGTGCACATGCTCTCTCTCAAAAATAAATGTTTAGGGGCACCTGGGTGGCTCAGTCAGTTAAGCGTCCAACTTCGGCTCAGGTCATGATCTCACCATCCGTGAGTTCAAGCCCTGCATCAGGCTCTGTGCTGACAGCTCAGAGCCTGGAGCCTGCCTTGGATTCTGTATCTCCCTCTCTCTCTGACCCTCCCCTGTTCACGCTCCGTCTCTCTCTGTCTCAAAAATAAATAAACATTAAAAAAAATTTTTTTTAATAAATGTTTAAAAATTAATTAATTAATTAAAAGTTCCTAATTTTGAACAGCTTGAACTGTTCTGCCTCCATAAGCTTGAACTAAACTTAATGTTTGAGTAATAGTTTTACAAAATAAAGATGTGAGAGGACATTCAGAATAAAACTAAGGATTACATATGACAGATGTAATAATAATTTTAAATCTCTTTTATTTGATTATTTCAGAGCAAGGATGGGAAAACCCCACTGCACATGACTGCCCTCCACGGTAGATTCTCCAGATCACAAACCATTATCCAGAGTGGTAAAAAGTATTTCTGTTTGTTTTTTTTCTTACATGTAGTAAAAACATCCACAAAATGAATGGTATTGTGGAATTGTTATAACAGTCTATATATTTTTAATATTTGATTTCAGATCTTATGAAAATCAAATAATAAAGAGTACAAAATGCCATGTATATGTATCTTTCACAATTTGTTTTTCATTTATTTTCATTTTGTTTCCCCTGAATTATAAATATAATTTCTCCAGCAGTTAGTGTGGGCTTTTTTGAAGCATTGCTGAATAGAAGACTTTGCCTTTCCATCGCAGTTTGTATTACACTTTAACAAAACTCTGTTGCATGTATCTTTTTTCCCCCTTTGAATGTTTTGAACTATTTTTAGGATTTTCATTTATTTTCTGAATTTATATTCTTTTGCATTTGAAGTAGCACTAGCCAAGCTAAACCTTTAAATAAAAACTCTTCAGTACATTACTTTAGTGTTTGCCAAGCCGTGTTCCAAGCAACTGTTAGTAGTCCTCAAAATAATAGCTGTTACGGTTCTGCAAAGAAAAAATAGTAGTTTCATGATCAAATAATTCCTGAAGCATTGTTTGCAATCTTGATGACACATGGAGTTTGCACATTAAAGCTCTGACGTCTTGCTCTGAAGAAATATGTTTACTTCTGTTTTAATACAGTGGTTTCCAAACTTACTGGACCCCAGAACCCTTTTGTCATTTTAAAATGTTAAAAACGTATGCTTAGTTTACAAGATTGTTGTAAGTGTAAGATCTATAACTGCAGTGCCTGGCCCAATAAATGTCCTATGAATGAACTCTAGTTAGATCTCTATATTCATTAGTTTATGCTTGAATAGTGTTTTATGTTACTTTCCACGTAACAGATACGACTTAATATTAGTCCACTATCTGATGGTATGCTATTTATTGCAGGAGCTGTAATCGACTGTGAGGATAAGAATGGAAACACCCCTTTGCACATAGCAGCAAGGTACGGCCATGAGCTGCTAATCAACACTCTTATTACAAGTGGTGCTGACACTGCAAAGTAAGTACTTAACATAGCGTTGATAGCTGTGATGACTGGGAAACACAGATGGCAGTGAATTGTAGTTTTCTAGATATTTCAAGTAGAAGTGTGGATTTTGTGCCCAATATGGTATTCATTGCTTGAGCTTTTTCCCCTTTGTGTTGATGATGTGCTAGAATAGATGTTTAGTATGATTTCATTTGGTAAGGCAGCATAGTGTATTTTTATGTTTTTTTTTTACCCCAGTTCATTCTAGATTATGAATAATAAGCAGTTTTGGTTAGAGCTCTTCATTGTCTTGATCTAATTATTTGTAATCTAAATGTAAATAAAAGACCTAAAAATGTTTATATGCTGAATGCTTTTCCTTTTCATCCAAATACTACTACCTGTAGGTCTTTTGCCCCCTCATTTGGTGGGAACAGCTCGCTTTGTCTGTTTTATAAAAGTTTCTATAAAAGATGTTGTTGGAAAGATGGATTCTCTTGCATGTTCTGCAAAAGTAAATATCCTACTGAAGTTGATGTTTATCATTCCTTTGTGTGCCTTTATATTTTTATTACATTTTATTACATTTATATATATTCAGTAACATGTTTTAAACCTCCTTGTAAACTTTCTGTAACTGTGATGCCACTGTACACTTTTTGCAACTTTTTTGATTTAGCCACGTAGATAAAATTCAGGCTTTTTCTTCACATTTCTACAAATACCTCTAGTTCATTCATTTTATAAAATGTAATTATTTATAAAGAATTCAGTTTATTCATTCGACTTATTTGCAAACATAAGTTGCTTCCTATTTTTTATTGCTACAACAATTACTACAGTGAACATTCTTGAACGTTTTGTGTTGTGATAATGATTCTCAATAAGAGTGAGGCGGGGGATTGAATTTCACACCTTAGGCCAATGTCCAGAGACATTTTTGGTTGTCATAATTTGGTAGAAGGATGTTACTGGCATCTGGTGTGGGTAGAGCCCAGGGGCACTGCTGAACATCCTGCACGCACAGGATAGCCGCCACCCCACCCCCCACCCCCCCACATCCAACAAAGTTCATCAGGACAATAATGCCCTGGTTGAAATATCCTACTCCTGGAGGAAAATTGCTAGATAATAAATAAGCTGCAGTCACCTTTAGCCTTTTGCCACATTGCTCTTCAAAGTGTAAAAGTTTGGACTCATTATCTTTTCACTGTAGCTAGTTTCTTTGTCACTTATTTAAATGACTATATTATTCTTGTATTGAGGTTACTGTCCTACTTATTTTAGGCGTGGCATACATGGAATGTTCCCCCTCCATTTGGCAGCTTTAAGTGGTTTTTCAGATTGCTGCAGGAAACTTCTTTCTTCTGGTAAGTGGAACCATTGCAGACTGATTCTCCTTTTTTTTTTTTTTTGTCTTCACGAAATGCCCCAAAATTTAATCTCTTTATCCTGCTTTCCCAAAATTACTTATAGATATGTCCAAATGTGAATCATTTATTAAGTCCTCTTAGAAGATGTTGGGTTCTTTAATTTTAACATTCAATTTTCTCTTCAGATCTGGGAAAGGTTTTATCTTTCAGGGATTTCCTTCTTTCTGTTAGTGGGGGAATGGGTTGTAGAATATTTCTAGAGCAGTTTCTGTTCGTTGGATGGTAGTTTTCTTGTATTGTCCCTTTATGCCTAGAAACAGAATATCTTCATTTGCATGCTCCTCTTTTAGGAGCTGATAACCATTTTATATTATCTCCCAGGTTTGTGAAATTATCTATACCATATCTAATTACTGTGTTAAAATACCATAATCATAGTCCGTTTGAAACAAAACAGGGTCTATAGCTTTCTATAAATATTACAAAACTATGATCCTTATTAAATGCATAGAATTACTGAATATATATGATTTCATTGATTTTTTTTTTTTAATTTAAAAAAAAATTTTTTTTTTTTTTTTTAACGTTTATTTATTTTTGGGACAGAGAGAGACAGAGCATGAACGGGGGAGGGGCAGAGAGAGAGGGAGACACAGAATTGGAAACAGGCTCCAGGCTCCGAGCCATCAGCCAGAGCCTGACGCGGGGCTCGAACTCACGGACCGCGAGATCGTGACCTGGCTGAAGTCGGACGCTTAACCGACTGCGCCACCCAGGCGCCCCGATTTCATTGATTTTAAAAGATAGTCTGTTTCTCGGAGTGTTGAAGTTGAACATATTTTGTATGTTAATACTCACGATTACCGAAAGAATTACGGGAAGGTTTCAGTGAAAATTAACATTTTGTGTGAGACAACACTTCTTTTTTCTTAGTAATTTTTTTAAGTTAATTCTACTTTAAGTCTTTAAAAGTTTGTGTATTTCCACAAGTATTCACAAACCCATTTATCTATGAAAGAGAAGTCTAAAATTTCTCCTCAGTGTTAGAAATAGTCCACAGATAGCAGAGCACCTATGGCTTCTTTTAAAAACAACTTTACTAAGAGTTCACATAACATACATTTCACCCATTTAAAGTATATAGTTCAGTGTTTGTTGGTATAGTCGCAGAGATGTGTGACCATCACTAGAGTCGGTTTTAGAACATTCTCATCCTCCTGTTAGCAGTCAGTCCCCATTTCCTCCTGCCTCTCCCTAAGCAATCATTACATTCCGTCTCTATAAATTTTCCTGTTCTGGATTGTTCATAGAAATGGTCACCCAAGATGTGGTCTTTTCTTTCACTTAGCCAAATGTTCTCAAGGATCATCCATATTATAACATGTGTCAGTACTTTGTTGTTGTTGTTGTTGTTTTATTGTTGAAGAATATTCCATTGTATCCTGTGGCGGTTTTTTTTAGTGTTTATTTATTTTGAGAGCATTGTATCCTATGGCTTTTAAACAAGTATGCCAGCACTTGTCCTAAAACTCCCAGTCCTCTAGAGGCATATTTTGGTAGTATTAGACATTATTAAGCTATTTTCAATAATTTTGTGCCTATTTGTAATTCAGTTTTGTTTGAGATTGTGGTGTATGTGATACTTGACATTTCTTGACTTAGAACTTTAGTATGAAGTAACATATCTATGATACTATATAAGATATATCCATTTTTACAGGATTTGACATAGATACCCCAGATGATTTTGGCAGGACCTGTCTACATGCAGCTGCAGCTGGAGGGTATGTTAACAAAATTTTTACTTTTTAAAGAAGAAGGTAGTTGGTCGTGCCAGTTTTTTCTCTTCTCTTTGTTTCTCTTTATTAGTTCTGAGCTGCCTCAAAATAGAAAACAAACTGTAATAAGAGTGGTTTGGGAGAAGAAAAGTCCAGAATAGTAGAAAATGCTTTTTTTTAAATCTTCCACCTGAGTCATAAATTGTGATTGGGAGAGATGGAGCGAAACTGTAAAAGGAACTATTGCTTTCTATGAGAGAAAAATTATTTCTGGATAAGTGAAAAGAATATATGTCTTCAAATGAGAGCCAGCAAAACATTTAGAGATGTTTTGAGTAATATTAGTGTTCTTTGGGAAAGTATTTGGGGGTTTTTGGTCATAATTTTAGGGAAAAAAGTGTTGATGGTTTGTGTATGTCTTACCTCTACTCAGGGCTAATATATAGGAAGAAGAAAATTTGAGATTGAAAGATTTTGGACAAAGTTTTAAATACTACTCCTACAGGAAAATAGGCTGTTGGTTTGAATAAACAAGCTTCAGTTAAAACTCTTGGTCTCTGAAGCATGCTTCTAATCTAATGTTTCTGATCGTTTACATCCTAAATCTATAATAAGCCATTTAATTCATGATGGTTTATCAAAAACATAATTTATAAGAATTTTATTCCTGATAATAATTCCTTAATAATTCCCAGTGGTTTCAGATGACAAGTGTGCTGAACCTGCCACTAGGTCAGTCTCAGTTCCAGAGATGGATTGTGAACTATTATGACTGGGTCCTCTTGTTCTTCCAAGGTCACCAAAGAACCTTCCAGTTAAAACCTAGCTTCCATGTTACTTGCCTCCACAGAGAGGGACAAAAGAAAACATGAGTATCTGATCACTTGGCAGTCACAGTTTTTATTGTAATGTAGTAAGTTGATGTTCTGGTTTTTGAAAATGAAATTATAGAAATATCCACACATGTACTCCCCTGTAATTTTAACTAAGGAAACATCTAAGCAATTATAGTATAGGAGAAAATAAGGAAAGCATCTTGGAATGTTATCTGTGTTACCAGGTTTAATTTTTTTTTTTTTTTGCCCATTTTCATTTATTTTGGTATTAAAAAACACTTAAATTTAAACCATTCCATTAAAAGCATGTTGTTTGAAGTTTGTTTTAAAGGTTCCTAAAAACTCTCAGGAAAACTACAAATGTGAACTTTCTTTTAAATAGCGGTTAAACGTGATTCGTTTGTTATTTCCTATCAACGTGCTGATCAATATGTGTGTACCTAACTTTTAAAAATTCTAGATAAGGTGAATTTTAATGTTTTAATTTTTATAAAATATAAATCATGTTATTCACTTTACCTTCACTTGAATGAAAGCATGCTTTGATACTTACTTAAACCTACCAATTTCATTTTAAAATTATTGACAATTAAGTCTTATAACTGTATTTTCCCATCTAGGAATTTGGAGTGCCTAAACCTTCTGCTGAATACTGGTGCAGACTTCAACAAAAAGGACAAATTTGGGAGGTACGGTGTGATATAGTTCCTCTATAGAACGTAATTAATGTTATTTACTTAATGATTAGCATGACCTTCTAACTGGCTTCTGAGAATTAACTGAACAGTTCAGTATCATTTGCATTGTGATCACGATTGAGAAGCCCAAATAAGTCAGTAACTTCTAAATACTCATTTTTACTCACAGTTGTCTTCCACTTGGGCCCCTGCCACAGCCCCAGGCTACCAGGTCTACCTTATGAGCACCTCTGTATGTCTTGGTATCATTCCTCCTCCTCCCATATTTATACCATGAAAATGTAAACCCCCATGGTGCCTGAGTTCCTTCAAGAAACTCATAAGACCCAGAACTCAGTAATACATTTCTCCTTCCCCATAAGTCATTTCATTGTCATTTCCCCTATGGGGAAATAGGTTATAAATATATATGAAATTTTTGTTCTCCCGTGTAAACATACACACATAACAACACATCCACACATACCCCTTCATATGACTGGTAGGAAAGCACCTGTGAAGTGACAGTCTCTTTGTAGTCTTTTTAGCTAATCCTTATTCTCACTGTGTAGCCCCAGGCCTCTTTGTGACTAGCATTTATGGTAGCAGTACTTATATCCACCACGACCTGCAAAGTTATTTAGAGTAGGAGTTGATACAGCATGTGCTAAAGCCATACAGGAAATGATGGAAGGCAATTCACATTGGTTTAAAAAACAGAAGTGGAGGGGTGCCCGGGTGGCTCAGCCAGTTAAGTATCCGACTCTTAATCTCACAGTTCAGATCTTGATCTCAGGGTTGTGAGTTCGAGCCCCATGTGGGGCTCTGTGCTGGGCATGAAGCCTACTTTAAAAAATAAAAGTGGCAGTGCAAAAAAGGTTGTGTGTCTTGAGAATTATATCAAAGTACATGACAAGAAAGAGTGTGTGTCAGAAGGAAATGTGTGGATGTATGTGATGGGCCAGTACAGAAGTAAACAGAATTATGTATGGTAGGGAATCAGAAATGCACAGAAGAAGAAAAAAAACTACTTGACTCCATAATTACTTTGAGGAATAGACTGCTCTCATAGGCTTACTAACAGAAAGAACTAATGACCTGCAAAATCAAAAATCACTTTGGCTTTGCAATGCAATATTTTTACAGCCAATTTGCTTTTATAATTGTACTGTAATCCATCTTGTATTAGTTAATTTGTAGTACTTGAAGAGTTTTTTACTACAGATGCAGAGAGGGCCTCGGAAGCATATTCTGAGTTTAGAAGCTTGAAAGTAATTCAGGGTTAACTGTATTTCTTAAAATGCTATTATTACAGTATATTGTTATCCAGTAAAGTAAAATAATGTTTTACTGTCATCTCACTCAGTAAATGTTTTAGAAGAAATTATACCATGAAGACTCTGGACTGTATTTACCTTCACTTTGTTTTTTTTTTTTTCCTCCTCTCCCTCCTCCTCCTCCTCCTCCTCCTCCTCCTCCTCCTCCTCCCCCTCCTTTTTTTTTTTTTAAGTGAAAAGTCATGGGATCATCATAGAGTTGTAATCCAAAGACTAGGGACTCCTAACTTTAGTAACATTCTGTTGCATTTCAGTAACTGAGATGAAAATGGCTACAAATAAATATTCATTCTTTAGAAATTAAAAACCGTACTCTAACTCTTCTGAATAGTGAACAATGTGCATTTTTTGCTTAAGAATCCTGTTATTACTGTGCACCTTTACTGTATACTTTACAACTGGGCTTTCTTTTAAATGCTTCTATATTTCTCTTTATTCTTCTACTGAGACAGGAGTAGAAGTTTCTTCTACCTCTGTACTGCAAAACATTTTATTAGCATAAGAAAAGCCTTGTTAAAATGAAAGTTTTGAAGTTTCTGAGCAGAATATGAAGGTGTCTGTGATATACTCAAAAGACTAGAATTGTTACTGTGGGGACCATGAAATAATTTAACTGTGTTTCTGTTTTATTCCCTATTCTTAGAGGTTCTCTGCCATCTTACTTTCTTCTACTGGCTTTCTGTCCAGCCCTCCAAAAGACTTAGTATATGGCAGAAATCAATCTCAGGCTCACTATAAATACATTATTTGTAACTGGGTCAAGTAAGAGTAAGCTCTTGTTTACTGGTATATGTCCCTGGCTTTTATTTTTCTGATATTAACTTGGGCACAAAAGATCTCCACTTCACTATGCTGCTGCCAACTGCAATTACCAGTGCCTGTTTGCTCTTGTGGGATCAGGAGCAAGTGTGAATGACCTTGATGAAAGAGGATGCACACCCCTGCACTATGCAGCTACATCAGACACAGATGGCAAGTAAGTATCATGTGGTGAGAATGAAGGATTGTTTCTATAAACCAGCATCTTCCATGTGGATGGCTGTTGGTTTTTTATGCAATTTTATATTTTCTTTTTGTACTTTTTTTTAGTCTCTGGTGTGGGAAATAAATTGGTTTCATAATTATTCCTAAATCATAGTTTACTACCTATTTCTACTCAGCAACCTGCCTTATTGACTGGTCTGGTAGAAGAAAGATAAAGGCCTCTTGTCGTCCTCTCTGCCAAAAGCACATCTTAATATCACCTCCGTGTTTTTTCCCTCTGACTTCTCAGAGGCAGCAGCCTTGAGTTTATCGTAGGGAAAGGGAAACAGAAGAGAGATGGACAATGCCAACAGAAGATGGGGCAGAGATTGGAATACCAGTATCCGTCAGAGGTTGAGATTTTATATTTGTAAGAGACCCTTATAAATTGGTATCCAATAAGGGAGTAATCAAACGCAGAATCTGACATGTAGTTGTTGCTAAATATTACTTAAATAAGTAAATGAGATAATAGGCTAACTAAATATTGGCCAAGAATGACTGAATAAGAACAAAGGATTGAGAGATGTGTAAATTATTTTATAATTAATGTTCAGCTAAAGTTGATCAGAACTGTTTATAGTACCTTATGTATATTGCCTTCTTGGAAAAACATAACCTCCTTGGAGACCGTGATCTTCAGTCTGTGGTATTCTCCATGTGTCTGGGTCAGTTAAGAGCAAAAATAACCTTAAGAAAAAATAAATAGTGATTCTTAGTGAAGGATTTTATAAACTATATGTCAAGGAAGTTTTATTTAACATAGAACTATTTCTTTCGTTTTTACTATTTGCTTTTTACCCTCAAAATAAAAAGCATAATTTGATGGTATTATTCACAAATGTTAATTTGTTATAAATTTTATAACTGATATCAAAGCCATTTCTATCAGTAGCACTTTGTTATGTTGGTTTATAGCTAAAACTCTAATCTTGAAAGCACTAGTAAAATGTACTTTTTGTTTACAACAATATATTGCTTTGTACAATTTCATATATACCCAGAATAGTTAGGTACAGATAGATTTTGGGAGAAGTTAAATTATTTGACTATGTTTTTAGGTAGTGGCTCTTCAAAGAAAGAAAATCTATGGTAAAGACTTTGTAAATAAGAAAGTATTTTGGTAAATTTGGATAAAATAGATCATCCTCTGATTTATAAATTTTGTACTTTCAGGATTCGATTTATAGATTTTCTTGAAATAGGTTATGCCTAAAATGACTATATCACTACCAATAATCCTTTACCACTGCTCCCACAGACTGGTTATTGGGTGTTGCTCAGCAGAATCTACATAAATTCCACTGAGAGGTCACACACATAAACACACACACATGCACATTGAGATTACCCAAAGTTCTCCTGCCCTTAGAAAATTGCATTAAATATTAATTCTTGCACAAAAATCAAAAGAGCAACAGTGTTCAGCCCATACTGTTTAGGATTTGTGGTTTTATTTTAAGCCAATGTACTTTTTCTTTAGAGGTGTACTACTACTAAAGTGAATTAAATCATTAGTTTTCTCATGTCATATCAATGGTTTAGAGCCATAGCTACTAATATTTATTGCTTAAACGTTTAATTCTCAGTGTCTACACCAAGCAGCCTAATGTATAGAAAGAACATGAGCTTTGGGGTCCAAAAGACCCAGTCTAAATCTTGGAGTTTCTATATTATACCTCTTTGAGCCTGAGCAAGTAATTGCCAAGCAAAATCTTCTTTATCTGTAAGATTAGAAAGAAACGTACTTCTTAGAATTGTGGGGAAAACTGAGATCGTGGGTATAAAAGAATCTAGCACTGTTTCTTAGAGCCTCTGTTTCCTTAAAGAATCAGATCCTGTTTAATGCCATCATTTATTGACTCAGTGATTTGTTCCCTGAGAACTTTGTGGAAGCTATAAGCCACAGTAACCATTTTAGGATACCAGAGGCATCCTTTCAATAAGTGATTGTTTTGGAGGCTTAAATAGTAGCATTAAATATTTATTTTTCTAAGTTGTGCTCATTTAATTCCCAGGTATAGGTCGAATAATAAGAGAATCTGGCATGATTTCATATATAATTCTGGCAAAGCAAGTATGAAATATTTTCTAAAAGACAACACAAAATCCCATAGTTTCATATTACTATTATTCAGTAATATGTGTCTGTTGCTTTGTTTTTTTGATGATGACTTACTAATTTTCTATCAGCACCCCCAGGGAAAGTTATTTATATTTTGGAATTTTTGATACCTGACATTGCTTTTCTGCTATCCAAGAGCGATATAAGTATTTATAACTCTCCTCTGCCTTAATGTCCCTCTGTCTTCAGTTTCAATAAATATTAGAAAAATACGTAAAATCTTTCTTGACTCATTCTACTCATTCTTTTAGTCACCCCCATTGTCCTAGTGTCTGCATTCTTTATAGACAGTCATGACTCAAATACATAGTTGCTGTCACAAGAAACATGTACTAAATATTAATTTAATGTACTAAATATTAATAAATAAAATTCTCTTTGCCAGTTGAAGAGAAATAGGGCTGTCTTTGAGCAAGATGGTTAAGGATCTCCTCCATACCCATGTGGTATGTATAAGAGAAGGAAAAGATTGGGGGGGGGTGGTTTTTTCTGATACATAAAGAAGAAATCCTCTTCATGCCTGTTCTCCTGAGATAACCACTATTAACCTGCATATTTCTGTGTGTGTATGTAGATCGTTTCATGTCCATCATAGTCTAATCAGAGTTAAAGCCTTGGTATGTGCCTTTCCTGAGCCTTTTCTGTGTTCGTGTAATTATATATAAATGTTTTTATGAGTATATATATTTCACTGAGATCCACTTCTAAGGTGATAGTTGGCATTTTTCACAAAAATGGTATATTTTGACTTCTAATATCATTGTTTTGAACTTTATATAAATGGCATCATACAGTTCTTTGTGTAGAAGCTTTATAATCCTTAGATTTCTTCCCAAGTACTTAATACTTTTATTGCCAAAATAAACCTATCTTTAAATTCCCTTTTGTTGTGGTACAGAGAAAATACATTTAGCTTTTGTACATGACTTTATATTCAGCAGGCTTGTGTAACTCATTTTGAAAATGTATGTAAGACAACATTGGGTTTGATAGTGGCTCTGCTACCTGTTGTAAGACTCGGGGCAAGTTACTTCACATCTCTCTACCCATTTTGTCTGTGAAATGGGGGAAATAGTCTGACCTAACTCAAATGGCCAAATAAGGTGTAGGATATCTGAATGCCTAGAACAGTATCTCTAATCTTCCAGTAAAGATTAGCTGTATTTTTTAAACTATGCTTGATATCTTTTTCTTTTTTCTTCTTTGATAAGAACAGACACTATTATACACCATAATGGGAGAAAATAGAGGAAGGAGGGCCTCTGGGAACAATGCCACATTCCCTGCCCTGGGCTGAGTGGGTCTTACCAAGAGCTCTGACCAGCCTTGGGACTCATGGGTGGTAGGGGAAGAGTTCGAAATGTACTCTGGTTTAAATTATGTGCTTAACTGGAATGATACCTAATTTGTCTAACATATTAAATGAAGGAAACAAAATATGTAACAGTAAGAGCAGTTTATTACTTAGCTGTTTCACCATGAATATTACTCCAGGTTTTGCATACAGTTTATGTTAGGGGAAAGAGAGATTAAAGAGAATATTCATCTTAATTTTTTTGACTTGTATAAAATCAGTGTGTGTGCTAATTTACAATTTCAGAAAAAGAAAAATTAGACTTTCTCTCCTCCATTTTATTTGCAAATTAAATGTGAGGTCCAGATATTCGAGATCACATAATTTGTGGTTCAGTATTTTGTAAGCACCCAGGTTAAAGTATCACTCTAATTCATTAATTCCTGTGCTAAGGCATTTGGTAGCATGAAAGGAGCACTGGATAAAAAGAAAACCTAAGGTCTAGTCCTTGCTTTGCCATATGCTAGCCAAAAGATTTGGAACAAATGATTTGATTTTCGTGAGCCACAGTAATTTTTCCAGTTGTTAAAGGTAATGCTCATCTCACAAAGTAGTTAAGAAATTTTATATTGCTTAGCAAAATCTAAAAGGCATGCCAGTAGAAGGAATTTTATCATTTTGAATCAACCGTTAGCCTTTGTTTTGTTACAGGAGACCAATTATCTGAATAATGTGAATGTAAAAAATAATAAATAATATGATAAGAACTACCCACTGCATCTGTAACACTTAAATTATTTGAAACCATTCACTGCTTGGAAGGCAGCTACGCTCACCGCTATACCACCAACACTGCACTAATGCTGTATATTTGGACTAGTCACTATGGATAATGCCTTGAGATGTGCTTTCCTACTTCAGAAAGTAAACATGAACTTACCTACTTGTCTTGCCTTCCTTAAATAAATCTTTTTTTCAGTACTCATATATCAGCAAGTTATCTTAAAATAGTTTGTTCCACGGATAGAATCTTCCTGGTACTCAGGTCTCGGGAGAACTATTTCTGCTCTCTCGCTCTTGCTCTCTCTCTCTCTCTCTCTCTCTCTCACCTAGAGAACTTGATTAAAGATAGATATGCCCTTGTGTGAAATGTTTGTGCCTGCAAAGCAGTGAGACTGTCCTCCAGCCCTATAGATCTTTTATGCATTCCAGTGAGCATTGACCTCTGAGTTGGATACCTAGGAAAACTGGATACAGTTTATGCCCTGCCTAGAACAATTTGTACAGGCTTCTCAGAGCTAATTTATGAACACCAAAAAATACCAGTCTTCTTACCTTAGAGTCAGATTGAGTTTTTTGTTTGTTTGTTTTAATCACAATGATACGCAGTTCACCATGTTTGACTAATAATTTTAGCTGTACATAAATATAAAAATCCCACTTAAAAGCATAGACATTTGCTACCATTGAGGATAGTATAATAAATATAGATTCTGCAAGTAATTCCTAGGGGATTGAAAAGATTTTAAGCAATTCATTATTAAAGAAATAAGGGTTGGCATTGAAAAGAATAGCCTGGGTAGATAATAGATAATATAGATAGATAAGAGATAGATGATAGTTATGTGTATGTATGATATAGTTACTGAAAGACCAATTACATTGCTTTAGAGTTTTGTTTTTGTGTAACTTCAGTATGCTTTTGGAAACTCGAATTTTTTCATAGTTTTTTTTTTTATTTTTTGTGTATAATTAACATACAGTGTTAAATTAATTTCAGGTGTACAATTTAGTGATTAAACTATTCCATACATTACCCATTGTTCATCATGACAAGTGCACTCCTTAAGGAAACTTCAATTTTTAACAAGGAATATTTGACTCTAAATTGTCCCGCAGTAGTTGTATTAATATTTAGTTAATATTGCAGTCAGTATTGCAATATTAGACAAATTATCAATAAATAATTATGAACTTGGAATTTGAGCCTGAATGGAGTTTAGCTTCCTTAGTTGGATTTCTGCCCTCCCCCCATCTGTCAAATGAATAAACAGAGGCCATTTCACCATAAAGTTGAAATTTCTATTTGATTTGCTCAAGATCACTAGTATATAACAAGTTCTATGGACAGATCTTTTAATTTCTAATTCAGTGCTCTTTGTTGCTGCAGTAACAATAACACGTAATAAAATTGTAACAAGTCATGAACCATATGATGCCTTTTAAAATTATTTTTCTCATGTTTTAATCGCACAGAAACGAAGTAAATCTACCATGGGAAGGTCTTTCTTGTTACCACTATACCACTTTCTACTGAGAACACCCTTCTTAGTCCTCTGATTCGAGATCATTGAAATCTGACCTTGTTTTCCTGAGATTTTTTTTTATATCCTTTCTTCAGCTTCCTAATGAGATCTTACACTCACTGTGTGTTCCAGATACGTCAGCAGTAATATTGCCAACATTGGATGTTCACCACCACTAAGTTTAATCCTGTCAGATATTGTTTGAGTGGAATAGGTGGTGCCATACATAGTGACTGTAAAAGACAGCCCGCAGGTACACTGAGCTTATTGACAGACTCTGGAGATACTCACTCTGAATGAATTTTCTTCATTCTTATGAACATTTTGCTTGTATTCTTACGATAGTTACAGTCAATGTCATTTAAAGACAAATTTATGTAGTGTAGATGTATTTATGATTTTTACATTACTCAAGAAAAGAATTGTAAGAAATTGTAATTGTAAAAAAATAGTTTTTAGTTGCAGGCTGTTTTAATCCTTGGTAAAATGCAAGATTTAGAATTTTGAATGTGTTATTACTATATATAGGTGCCTGGAATACTTATTAAGAAATGATGCAAATCCAGGGATCCGTGACAAGCAAGGATACAATGCAGTTCATTATTCAGCTGCTTATGGTCACCGTCTGTGTCTTCAGCTGGTAAGATTCCTGAATTCTTGTGGAAGGACTAATGTGATTTTATATTCTAATAACATATGAAAATAAGAATAAATGAATCAAGATACAAACTCTCACTTTTTAATATTTTTAGAACCTATATACCTCTTAAATTCATACTTGCCTCAGTATCTCGCATTCCCTTTTCCCTTTCAAAAAGAAAGGAGAGAAGGGGAAAGTGGGTGATGGGCATTGAGGAGGGCACCTGTTGGGATGAGCACTGGGTGTTGTATGGAAACCAATTTGACAATAAGTTTCATATTTAAAAAAAAAAAAAAGGAAAGAAAGGAGAAAATTAGATCTCTGGAGAGGGCTACTTATGTCCTTCCCTTATATTACCACATCACATTGGTGTAGCATTTCTCTTCCTTTAAATAAATGTTTTCTAGAAATTTCTAAAGAACTGTAACCATGTCTTCTGTGAGAGGAGGCCTTTTTTCCCACATATTTAGAGTTCTGAAAAGCCCGTTCTTTTTACAGCCTCTCCTGGTAGGGGAGACAATACTGCAAAGGAACTTTTTATTTCAGTTATGGTCTCATCCTTGAGTATATGCACCATTCACTCCATTTTGCCAAATCAAAGACAAGTTAAAAGATTCTGAAGTGGGGCGCCTGGGTGGCGCAGTCGGTTAAGCATCCGACTTCAGCCAGGTCACGATCTCGCGGTCCGTGAGTTCGAGCCCCGCGTCAGGCTCTGTGCTGACAGCTCAGAGCCTGGAGCCTGTTTCCGATTCTGTGTCTCCCTCTCTCTCTGCCCCTCCCCCGTTCATGCTCTGTCTCTCTCTGTCCCAAAAATAAATAAACGTTGAAAAAAAAAACTAAAAAAAAAAAAAAGATTCTGAAGTGTGTAACAAATGCTTCAAGTTAAAGGTTTCTTTATTTAGATTTACCTTATAAATTGTATTAAACTTCGCTTTCCCTCAAAGAGAGTGAGTATTAAAGATTGAAAAAGCAGGTTGACATATTCAATATAGCACTTAAAACCTGCTATCAGAAATAACAGGTATTTTCTTAGGTTACTATGTATCTTGTAGACTAATATCTTAGACCCATGAATGTAGATTGTGGTCTGTTATACACTTGTTTATTTAAAAGACTCAATCTTGGGAGACAAAGGAAGCACAAGTTCAGAATAGAATTTAACAGAAGCCTTGTATAAATAGACCTGTAGTTAACATTTATCTCTAATATATATGAATACTTCCTAAGCTAAATATTCTTATTTTAAATTTTATTTCAGATTGCAAGCGAAACTCCTTTAGATGTTGTAAGTAATAATCAATATCCCCTTTACTATTCAGAGTATTATTTCTTTGCTCTCACTAGAGCTGAAGCCTGTTTTACACATTCCTAAGAACAAACATAGTGACAGAAATCATATGTGCAGGGGATGGGAAGGGGGTTCTTACTTGGTGGTGAGTAAATAGCATTTCCCTCAAGCTAGTTTATAGCCCTCCCTCAGAGTTCTTATTCTGTGGTACTTACCACACATGCGTGATGATCTATTGTGTAAGGTTGCTGAGTGGAGTTTTTCATAATATAATGGACTAAGATTTTAAAATATAATGGTTCAAGTGTCAGTTTTTACTCTAAAATTGATTTAAACTTGGGGGAGAGGGAGCAGGAATAACTGCTAGAATATATCCAAAAGTACCATTTCTGACAGTTCAAATGCTTTTCCTTCCCAGTTAATGGAAACCTCGGGGACAGACATGCTGAGTGATTCAGACAATAGAGCGACAATAAGCCCTTTACATTTGGCTGTGAGTACTACCTTCACAGCCAACTTGATGGCTGGTTTACTGAAAATATCTCATATATGTTTGTTTGACTCAAACTAGTACCCATGTATGATGGTCCATGTATGATGATCATGAAATTAAAACTTAAGAATTTTTTTTAAATTCAGAGACTTCTTGACTGCACTTTGTTATGTTTTGTTTTATTAAAAAAAAAAAAATTGTGGTCTTTGGATTTCCCCCAAAGGCCTACTCTAAGGGAGAGAATATACCTGTGATGTGAATTTAAAAAAACACTGCCCTAAAGGAATGGCTTCTAACTTGCTAAACAGAACTGTATTTTCTGTGATATTTCTACAACTTTTTGCTTACTTTTTGATCTTGGAGCACTAAGTGTGTGCTCACTGGTCCTTCAGTTACTCATGCTATAGGATTTGGGGCACCTGGGTGGTTCAGTCAGTTAAGTGTCCACTCTTGGTTTTGGCTCAGGCCATTGTCTCGCAGTTCATGAGATTGAGCACTGTGTCTGGCTCCATGATGACAGTGCAGAGCCTGCTTGGGATTCTCTGTCTCCCTCTCTGTGCGCCCCCCCTCAAAAATAAATAAACTTTTAAAAAAAAGAAACCTCTCAATTTTTCCTCTTAATGATTAGTCCCTAAGAGGAGAAGGTTAGTGAAGTGTAACAATTCTTTAAATCAAATGTGGGAATGAATTACTTTAGGAAATTTCAAGCAGGGCCCAGTCTAGTTCTTTTTGTGCTACAAGAAGAGTCTATTTTTGGAACAGAGCACATTAACAGTTGTTGGGGGTGAGAAAGAGACTAAGAGTCAGGAGACTCTGATATAGTCACCGGCTTTTTGGGAGACTTCAGGTTTTAAATATAGTAAAATGCTTATAAGGAGGGTGTATACTTAAGTTAATGGATCACTACAAGTTCAGTGATCATTTAATTGTTTCTTCTTATATATGCTATTATTTTTTATAATACTCTCCTTGCGTATTTCGTAAACACCAACACACGTTCATTGAATTTTCTTGCCCTTTTCCCCACTAGTACTTCCTGCCATTTCCTAAATAACTAGGGAGGCATGCTGCAGCTTCTTGCTTCCTTGCCCTGTGGATCTTTGGAAATACTATGTACTCTCCCAGACGTGCCCAGTCAATAAGTCCTGTGAAAGGGCAAAGCCAGCGTGGAGAAAACAGCCATTTTACTGTTGGTGGTGAGAGATGCAGTCTGAGCAGATGGCAAGGCAGTTCTTCCTGCTCCGTCACCACCATTCTTACACTAGCACTGTCCCTTCCTGAGCATCTACTAGGTGCCACACTAAGCATTTTGCCAAGTTTATGAATACGTTACCTCAGAAACTATAGGTTTTTTGGTTTGGGGTGGGGGGGGTTGCTATGTCTTTACTCCATGGCTATTATGAATAGGGGTGCAAAATATGAACATGGCTATGCTAAATAGTGGTTTTAAGCTGAAATGGAACCAATTTTGTTAAAATTTAGTAAATTAGGCTCAGTGAACTGTGATTATATCACCACTTTCACATTATATATCTGTTCCGAGGAGGTTTTCAGAAATGACTCGAAGTGCTTTTTTACCCTTCCAAACTCACCCCATCCAAGACACCTTAATGCTGTGAAAACACACCAGCTTGAGGCTTAAGGAAACTGGTCTTGGTTCTTATCTTTGTACATACTGTGTGTACAAATTCGTTGTCTCAGTCCTATACAAGGACATCCTGACGGGAGGCTCTCTGGCAACTCGTCATGGCTTCTTGTCATCCTTATTGTGTCTCTTCTTGTTATACACTCCTAGTGTCTTATGTGTATGCTGTATCTCTCACATTTCTTTCTGTTAATAGCATCATCTCATTGACCAGGTTATTACAGAACAAGATTAGATGTGATCCTAGGACGGTAGAGTTCCATAATCTCCAGTTACTTTAATCTTCGAGGTGGTCAAGAAACTCTGTAGGTAGTGAGAAACATCAAAGAGACCAGTAAGGCCCAGAGCAACTTTACCTCTTTCTGGTACTTTCCGACATTTTCTGCAAGAAATAACTTTACAGCCCTTTGCTGCAGTGTGGGGCCCATTTCTGGTTAAGTGGATGTTTTCAGATTTAGTTCAAGTATGGTACAATTTTACATTTTTCAGTTCCCAGTGAAAAGTTCACCTGTGATAACAAACTGCTAAGCTGTAGGTCTGAATGGTGTCAGAAATGACTTGTAAAAGTCCTTTAGCTACAAAGTGGTAATATGAGTGAACTAGAGACAACATTCCTTTTGTGCCAGAACTGTGTCTTGTTAATTGCTTTAGGTCTTGCTCAGCATCTAGTCCAACGAGAGTAATAGATGTTCAGTTGATATGTTGGTTTTTGAAATGAATTACCTGGAAAGCTTCTTCCTCAACTGTGATAAAGAAGAGGACTTCATTCTGACAAATCTTTAAAAATTTTCGTGTTCTCTTTGTACAGCTAAGACAGAACTTGGCACATGGCAGTTACTCAAGCCAGATTTAGTCTGTCTGTTTTTGTGCTAAAACAAATGTTTATTTTTTTAGATATAGCATGTTATGAGGTAAGGATAGTTACTTTAATTTGAGAAATCAGAAGACTTAAGTATTAACTTCAGTTGCTGGCCATCTCTATAATTTTAAGTATAGTCAAATTTTATCAGGGAGTTAAGTGGAGCACTGAATTGTGATTAAGAACACAGGCTTTGAGGCACCCAGGGGTGCCTGGGTGACTCAGTCAGTTAAGCGTGCGACTTCGGCTCAGGTCATGATCTCACAGTTCGTGAGTTTGAGCCCTGCGTCGGGCTCTGTGTTGACAGCTCAGAGCCTGGAACCTGCTTTGGATTCTGTGTCTGTCTCCCTCTCTCTCTGCCCCTCCTCCCCCGCTTATGCTCTGTCTCTCTCTCAAAAATAAATAAACATTAAAAAAAAAAAAACTTTTAAAAGAAGAAAAAAAAGAACACAGGCTTTGGAATTATAGACTTAGGATGAAAGTTTTAATTGGATCTGTGTTACACTTTCATTGAATGCTATGAATCAGAAAGTTGTATACTAGTGATAAAATCACCTGTCATTTGAACATTTATTTTCTGCAGTATACCTGTTCTCTAACATATACTCTCTAACGTTGTACTATTTGGTTATTAGAAATACTTACAGTTAAGTTTTCTGAATTCTCAATAATGCAAGTTTTGGGTTATCTCAAATATAATAATAATGTGAAGACAAGTTTACTTCCTTTGTTTTCAAAGACATCTGAGAAGTCAGTCTAAATATGTATTTTTTTTAATTTATATTTTTATTTATTCCTAGGCCTATCATGGTCACCACCAAGCACTGGAAGTGTTGGTACAGTCTTTGTTAGATCTTGATGTGAGAAACAGTAGTGGAAGAACACCCTTAGATCTTGCAGCCTTTAAGGGCCATGTTGAATGTGTGGATGTACTCATTAATCAGGGAGCCTCCATTTTAGTAAAAGATTACGTTTTGAAGAGAACACCTATACATGCAGCAGGTATGTCAAATATTACACATGATTTTATTTACCACTTTCTATCTAATACTCTTTTCTTTTTCAATTTTTCGTATGTTATACTCCTGGTAATTATTTTAATAATCTTGACTTTGAAAGGTCGAATGGTTTTTCTCTCAGGGAAAAGCCAACAGCAAGATTATAATTGCTTTAAAAAATCATTGTCTACTGGGGCGCCTGGGTGGCACAGTCGGTTAAGCGTCCGACTTCAGCCAGGTCACGATCTCGCGGTCCGTGAGTTCGAGCCCCGCGTCAGGCTCTGGGCTGATGGCTCGGAGCCTGGAGCCTGTTTCCGATTCTGTGTCTTCCTCTCTCTCTGCCCCTCCCCCGTTCATGCTCTGTCTCTCTCTGTCCCAAAATAAATAAAAAACGTTGAAAAAAAAAATTAAAAAAAAAAATCATTGTCTACCTTAGAAGTTGGGTTTATGTAATAGTCTAACTTCTGAAGTACTTTATCAACAAAACAATACAATATTTTTTACTTCTTTTTGATGGAAATTATTTTGGATTAGTATGTGCTTTCATTTAACGGTTGACAATTTTGACTTATTGTACCAGAGTACTACATTTAACGTGTATTCACACAGGAGTTATAGAGCACCTACTTTATGCAAGATCTACTCCATGGTGTGATTTTGTGATGTTGCAAATGTGTCAGAATGCAAAATTGTGTTACCATGTCATTGTGAGGACTTGGTAGCTGTGTATCTCTAGCAGATACAGATTCCTGACTCTCCACAGGAATTACTACAAGTCAGTATTCATTTTAAATAACTAAGACTAGGGGTGTCTGGGTGGCTCAGTCGGTTAAACGTCCAACTTGAGCTCAGATCACGATCTCAGGGTTCATGAGTTCGAGCCCCGCATTGGGCTCTCTACTGACAGTGCGGAGCCTGTGTCAGATCCTCTGTCCCCCTCTCTCTACCCCTTCTCCTCTCTCTCTCTCTCTCTCTCTCTCTCTCTCTCTCTCTCTCTCTCTCTCTCTCTCTCTCTCTCTCTCTCTTTCTCTTTCTCTTTGAAAAATAAAAGCATTTAAAAAATTAAAAACTAAATACATAAATATATAAATAAATAAAACTAACTTAAAAAAGGGTAGGAGGTGCCTGGGTGGCTCAGTGGGTTAAGTGTCTGACTCTTGATTTCAGCTCAGGTCATGATCTCACAGTCCTAAGATCAAGTCCTGCCTCAGGCTCTACACTGACAGCACAGAACCTGCTTGGGATTCTCTCTCTCTCTCTTTCTCTCTCTCTTTCTCTCTCTGCCCCTCCCCTGCTTGTGCTCTCTCACATTCTCCCTCTCTCTTACTCTCTCTCTGTCTCTCTCTCTCTCTCAAAATAAATAGACTTAAAAGAATAAAACAAATAAGACTGGTCCACTGGAAGGAATCCTAGCCAAGTATTTTTTTTTCACCCCCCACTACTGAATTTTGCAGAGGATTTAATTTACCTTAAAACCTTACTATTTTCTTCTTTATGTGATTAGATACATTTCACTTAGTCTGTTTTTGTAGAGTGATTTTTAAGAACCACATTTTAATATGGGTTTTGAACTTCTAGTCCTTTAGGAAACTTGCCTTTTTGAAGACTAGGTAGGTAGGTGACACCCTCTGTTGCTCCAGAGCAGCCTTTCAGAAACTGTTAGATATTTAAGCAGGACTTAAAAACAAAAAATTTTTAAGTGGAATAAAATGCCTATAAATGTGTGTATATTGTTATATGGTAAGAATTAAGTCAAAATGCTGCCATTTTCTGTTATCTTATTCTGAAAAAGAATGAAGTTATATATCATTCTGCAACTTGAAAAATTATGCCGTAAGCACAGATCATTTGAAGAGCTGATTTAAAGCTTTTATGGAGTGGTTTGCACTCTTTATAGATAAATATTGAACCAAGACACTAGCCAGTCCCTCAGAAGTAGCTAACCAATGTCATATAGTCTATAAATTCTATCCAGTGAAACAGCTGCAGTTTACTGTTAGTGCCAACCTATTCAGTAAACACAAGCTTTGGTTCTACACATGTCTTTCAAATTAGGAGATTGCTAGGGAGTACTGTACTCATAAGTCATGAAGAGAACACTGTGATCTTTTATTTTTTTTCTGAAAGTGAGCCAGTTTTCTCCAGTGGTACTATGCTTGATATTTTAGATATTGAACTTAGAAAACACAAATACTCCTCAGTAGCTGCTGTGTACTGAGTGCAAGTGAATCACTTAAAGAAACGGTGGGCTGGGACACCTGGGTGGCTCAGTTGGTTGAGCATCCAAGTCTTGATTTCAGCTCAGGTGATGATCCCAGGGTTGTGGGATCGAGCTCCGAATTGGGTTCTGAGCTGAGCATGGAGCTTGCTTAAGATTCTATTCTATTCTATTCTATTCTATTCTATTCTATTCTATTCTATTCTATTCTATTCTATTCTATTCTATTCTATTCTATTCTATTCTATTCTATTCTCTCTCAAATAAATAAATAAATAAATAAATAGCAGTTAAAAAAAAAATAAAGAAATGGTGGGTCAAACAATTTCCTCGACACATCCCCAGGTGGGATGCTTCAGTGACAGCTGTTATTGATTACTATGAGAGTTGCTGGCTGAGTGTGGCATACAGATGTGGAGTGATGTTGTTACCACAAATCTTAATCGCTATTAGAATTTAATATAGCTGTTAGAAGTTACTGTAGAATATTAGGCACCTAGCTTGCTTTCACTAATTTGTCATTTTGAGGCGCTTGGTTGGCTCAGTTGTTTTAAACATCCGACTTTGACTCAGGTCATGATTTCATGGTCTGTGAGTTTGAGCCCCATGTAAGGCTCTGTGTTGACAGCTCAGAGCCTGGAGCCTGCTTTGGATTCTGTCTCCCTTTCTCTCTTCCCCTCCTACACTCCAACGCCCACGCGCGTGCGCTTGCTCTCTCAAAAATAAACATTAAAAAATATTGTCATCTTTTAATTAGGAAGAATAGTGACAGATATTCCTTTTTGCATCATTACGTGACTTACATATTTCTTTCAACTTCAGATTTTATTATATTATGGGAAGGACCTGAATTTTGCAGAGGATTTAATTTACCTTAAAAGCTTATTATTTTTTTTTTTTTTTGGTTATTTCTACTTTATACCATTGCCCATTTTATGTATTTGGACATATAAATGCATTCTTTAGAGAGATCATTTTTTCTTTTATTGTATATGTATCAGTTGGAATTCTCATAGTACCCAACTAAAAGGTGGCATAAGTGACAAGAGTTTTAACCTCTTACATAAAATGTTCAGAGGTAGAGTCAGTTCCAGGATTGACTGATTCAGCAGTGGTATCAGAACTCTCTATTATTCTCTTGCCTTTGCAGTCATGGCACAGAATGGCTACTACTTCTTTACGGTATCACCTCTGAAATCAGGAAAAGGAGGAGGACTTGTCATTATCAGGGATAAAAATATTTCCCAGAAGCCTTCAGGCTTAGCATCTCAGTGGTCAGAACTGGATCAGCACTTATCTTGGAAGCTGTCATTGGCAGAGAACAGAGTTGTGATGGACTTGATCTAATCATGGTTTCATCCCTTGGCTGAAGGCATTCCCTTGACCACATTGCCACCGCCAAAACCAGATAAAACGAGCGTTATAATACCAGGGCAGATGGTGAGGGATGGCTATGGCCATAATTAACCGTGAGGAATTGATAGCTGTAGTCAGTTTCACCAACAAAGGCAATATAAAACTTTGTATCTATATATTTTTCTCTTAGACTATTAAATTCAATGAAACTATCCCACAGTTATATCCAGAAAATGTGCTCTATGATAGAAATTTTCTATTTTATCATTGTAATTACTGAAATTTTAAAATACCACTTTACAGCAACAAATGGTCATTCAGAGTGCTTACGGCTACTAATAGGAAATGCAGAACCACAGAATGCAGTCGACATTCAAGATGGAAATGGACAGTAAGTTTTAATAATTTTTAAATTATTTTCAAGATGTGTGTTAATCTTCATACTTGTAACCCTAAAAGTCTGTCATACTATGTAACTGAGTAACAACAAATACAGTTTTCTCACTTTAAGTATACTTTAGAAGTTGTATCACAAAAAGGCATATTTAGAAAACAGGAGTTTGTTTTTCATGGAGTAGTCTTAAGTTGTAACGCTGAACCTATTATTACTCTTGTTGCTCAGGACTCCTCTGATGCTGTCTGTTCTCAACGGGCACACGGACTGTGTTTACTCACTGCTGAACAAAGGAGCAAATGTAGATGCCAAAGATAAATGGGGAAGGACAGCATTGCATAGAGGGGTAAGCAAAAATATTCCCATTGCCTTTCAAAAATTTCTTAGGATCTCCTTTTGCCTAAAACTGAACTAGGCTATGTTTATTCTTCTTCATTAAATTTCTCCCAGATAGTCTTTACTCTTTCTTTTAGTATTATAGTTTTTGAGTGCGAATTTTAAACAGCTGTAAAACACAACTTAATCCAGGAAACAATAATGTTGGAACAAAATTTTAAAAACCTAAGACCTAAGTAGAATTAATGTCAATTTTACTTTTTCTCATCACAACTATTTTCTTACACATTTTTGTCTTTTTCACCTTTGAACCTTTCACCTTTTTACCTTGTTTTCACTGATTTATAAGTTCCTTTGTTCCTGTTTTTTGCAATATGTGTATTTTGACAAAGTTAATGCTTTAGATAAACTTTTAGGCAAATTTCAATAAAAATATTGAATTACTCAAAAAATGATAAATGCTTTGATTGATGGTAGAATATGGGAAATACGGACTTCAAAAGTTTTTAATTAGCAAAAATTGGCATGTTACCCAAGATGACATATTCAACTACCTGCAAATAATTTTTCTTTCAGGCAGTTACAGGCCATGAAGAATGTGTAGATGCATTACTTCAACATGGTGCTAAGTGCTTATTTCGAGATAGCAGGGGCCGGACACCTATACACTTATCAGCTGCCTGTGGACACATTGGTGTTCTTGGAGCCCTTTTGCAGTCAGCAGCATCTGTGGATGCAAATCCAGCCATAGCAGACAATCATGGATATACAGCACTTCATTGGGCTTGCTACAATGGTTAAGTATACACATGCAAATCTACATTAAGTACCATTAATGCACCAAGTAGAGACAAGAAACTCTAGTATATAGCACTCTGATATTCATGAATATTTGTAAGGCAAAGTGTAAGATCGGTAGGAAGCATAGACATCATCTACTACATAGTTCTAGCTTACTCCTATCCTTTGTCATGCTAAAGCCAAGACATTAGTTTGTCAAAGATCTTTTGAGATCAGCTTTCGTTAAGTCTGAATTTTTTCTAAATCTTTGCTTCAACAGGTATTTTGCATTTTTAACATACTTTTATAACATGTGTGATGTCTTTTGTATAGTATGCTTGTAGTTTGATTATGTTCTTTTACTTTCTAAGTGCACTTGTGTTAGGCAAAAAAAGGTGGAGAAAATGAAACTGTATCACATTCTGAACCGAAATCTGTGCATGTTTTCAGAGCATATTGCCAGATAAGATCCTTATATCAATAGTAACATGTATGCTCAACATTTTAAGGGAATAAAATTCTAGCAGATCACAGAAGTAGAAACTTCAGAAACTTCTATTGTTAACTTTGCTGCATAGTTAGAACACACATACTTTTAGCTTCCTAGAGGCTCACAGCCAGATACTCCTTTTATAGGTAAGCTCACTTCACTCAGAGAAGTATAGAGCTATGTTTAAGGTATAAATGTTCAAAATGGAGTTTGGCTTATGAAATATCACTAAAATAAGTAATGAGGCGTGTTGAGAGAGAATGATTTTTGCCTTGTGTAGGGCCACAGATTTGATCATGTTATAAAATGCTAAGATACATGACATACATTCCAGACATCAGTTCTGTCAAATTTTGGGCTTTGGGCTGAGCCAGGGATATGAAGATTTTTATTTGTTTTGAATTTCATTGCAGCATTCAGATTACTATTAGTTGTGAGGAGCATACCTAGAAAAAACTAGTTCATAACCATAACAACTTTCCCTCAAAATGTTAAGAAAATATAAATTGCCTCTTGATATAAATGTTGACGTGCTTAAAAAAGTTAAGTATAGTATCTGTTCTAAAATTCAGCTGTCTGCTTTATGAGAGAGTTTAGGTTTCTCTCTTTCTGTACTGTGCTGCTTCATGGTTCTTCATTGGAGCCATTTTGAGGTTTTTGTTTTTGTTTGTTTTTGTTTTGTTTTTAACTTATTTTGAGAGAGATAAAGAACAAGCGGGGGAGGGAGGGAGGGAGGGGGAGAGAGAGAGAGAGAGAGAGAGAGAGAGAGAGAGAGAGAGAGAATGAATCCCAAGCAGGCTCTGCACTGTCAGCACAGAGCCTGATGTGGGGCTCAAACTCACAAACTGTGAGATTATGACCTGAGCTGAAACCAAGAGTCAGATGTTTAACCTACTGAGCCACCCAGGCACCCCCTACTGGAGCCATTTTGACAAATAATGTTATTGAGTTATGGTGAAAGAAGAGAAACCTGAATCTTGCAAAATTATAGTTTAAATGTTTTCATAAGTATTTTATAGATGCAGTATTTGAATACTCATATTAATCCTTGTGCCAGAATTGAGAGTTCTGATCTTTTGCTGTGAGAAAGTTTTGATCTCGTCTTAAGGATTGTTCTGTGATTACTGTTGGGCATCCATCATCTCTGGGTACTGATGGTACCATCAAAACTTGAATAGTTCAATGTATTACTAATTCACAAGCTTAGTTTAGTCAGTTTCATTTTTACTGCCTCAGATCTCTAGCCAGAACAGTTTTGTTGAAGATTAAAACCTTTGGGATTTTAGATTCTCTTTTTCCCTTTTAACTCAGTAAAGTTGGAATTTAATGAGTAGAGTGAAGTGGCCAAATATTCAGACTGAAGTCCAGAGTCAAAAAAGATACTGTATTTTGCCATTGGAATTTGATTTGTTTTTATGATGTAACTTGACATATTCGCAAGTAGAGGAAAACCAAAACCATCTAATATAGTAGAGATACACCTTATGGATGTGAATTTTATTTAAGAAATGAAAGTGTTTTGAAGCAGACTTTTATTGCTTGATTTTTTTTTAAACATATCAGAATTAACCATTGGAAAAATCACACAGCAAGCTATCTGTCCTCAGGCAGAGTATTTAGTGTGAATACACTGCTGTAACTATCCTTTGGAGAGTTGCTGTCTAGTACATTTCTTATCAGATCTTTATGAAGAACATGGTTTCCCTAAAGTGAGTTCCTGCTGTATTACTGCTGAATTTAGACTCTAAACATGTTGTGTACAAGAGACAAAATAGACAAAATTTTGCATGAGCTTCATGCCTGGTTGCCATTTAAGGATCATAACAGATGTGTCTAATTTCCAGACTGTAGCAAAATTGTGATGATTCTGAATTGAGCTGGAATGAATTAGATGTGTATTGGCTATATGCAATAAGAGACCATACAGACAGTCTAAATTTAAATACCATATTTATAGCCAAAAGCCTATTTTATAGTTTGGTGTTCTGAGAGTAGAATATATAAAATGGTTTTACTTCCGCTAGTAATTATTGTATAGCTAAAAACAAAACTGGATGCACTCCAGTAGACCAGAAAACAACCTTTGTCTAAAAATTGAAATGGAATGATGACAAAGTATTACAAAAGAATTGGTTATACATGCTAAGTTTTAGAGTTCCAGATTTCCAGTTTATGCAGTCATTCAGTCACAGGACACTCTAAAGGGTATTTATATTATCCCTTTGTTGCTTTTAAAAATTTATAAATTTTTGTGAAGCTCTATGTATCCTCAGAATATCCCTCTGAAACATGAAGAGACCAGTTTTCCCATCCTTCCATAAACAAGGACACAAAGTGATGAGTTTTCACCTTGATATGATTGCTGGAGGTAATCCATAGCCCAGAACTCTGTCTTTGCAGTATGCAGTCTGCTCAGATAGTGATTCTCAAACCTTTCAGTCTCAGGACCTGGGAGTTAGAGCTATTAATATTTACTATATTGGAAATGAGAACAGAAATTTAAGAATATTTATTAATTAAAGTAATCCATCAAATGTTAATATAAATAACATTTTATAAAAAACATATTTATAATATAAATCACATTATAAAAACATTTTATAATATAAAATAACATTTTTATAAAAAATAACCTCTTTTCAAAACAAAAAAGAATTTTAGTTAGAAGAGTGGCAAATTTCTTTACAGGCTAGTTCAGAACACTAGTTATCAGTGGTACCCCAAGGTTCCCCAGACCCACACCTTGAGAACTGCTATCTAGGAAAATAGGAAACCCTTAAATCTATAATGGACAAATTTCCATGGCTACTTCTTGGTAATGAGTTGACATTTGGAGAGAATGAAAGCAAGGCTTCTCTGGGTGCCTGGGTGGCTCAGTCAGTTAAGCATCTGACTCTTG